CGGTGCCAGTGGCGTTGTCGTCCCTGGGCCCGGRAGGTTTGCACGGGCCACCTTCGCCGGGCACCATGAGGGTTCCTGGTGGTGGTGGGTGCAGAGTGGACTCGTCTCCTAAGTGTCCTGCCCCTGCCTCGCTGCGGGTGGCACGGGCTGGAACGCGCCTGGACGCGAGACTGCAGGTGTGCCCACCTCCCCCGGCAAGTGGGCTCGGAAAATGCACGGACAGAACCTGGGTGGACGTGGCTGTAGCAGAGGACGTGTTTATCGTGTGCGTGGACTTCACCCRCACATCCTGCCAGACAGGAAGAAAAGCGATTTCTCCTCTGGAGGTCCACGAATTGCACAGAGCGGTTTCTCCCGTTTATTCCCATAACGTTGCTTGTTCAGCGCCAGCAGAACGCTCGCCGGCCGAGCCGCCGGGGCAGCTGAAGGTGCGGGTGGTGGACAGGTTAGTGGGGAGCCGGTGGAACTGGGCGGTGCTGGGGAGGCCCGTGGCACCAGCTCCAGGAGAGGCTGCTTTGCAGGCGCCGCCAAGGGAAGGCGGCCGAGGAGCAGCCGGGGCTCATCGCCGAGGACAGGTCCTGGCTTCGGTAGGGGCTGCTGAGAGTCTCCCGAGTCCCAGGTGGGATAGGTCGGCGTTTGCAGGGTCTCCCAGCCCCCGTCTCTGCTGCCTCTTGTGAAATTTGGAGCAGGTGGCGTTGGGTTCGATTATTACCTTGTGAGGCTGTTGAAATCCTTCTCTCACCTGATGGTGAAAATGGGTTTCCTGGAGTTGTCCATTTTACTCTGGCTTAACAAGTCCTAATCCCTAGGCTGGAGGCGGTCAGAATTAAATTCTCTCCAGGCTGCCCATGACCCTCACAGTCTTTGCCAGTGCTTTGGGATCTTGGGGCTAAGCCAAAGYGTGCAGTGAGGAGTGCCAGAGTTGCCTTAAAGACCCCCGTTGTGGTTGGGTCAGGGAAGAGATGTGTTAGCCCTTGGTAAGACACGTTTGCTGTGTTTCCTGAACAGGAAGAGTCACAGGTTGAGTCTGATTTAGCAGAGTAGATCCCTCTGGGACTGCTTGTGGGATAGGGAGTGTAGACCTGGGGTTGTCAGCCGCATTAGGAAAGTTGTCGTTGTACAGCCAGAGAAGGCAGCAGACAGGTAGTTTGGAGCGGGCGAGGCTCCGAAATCAGAGTGGATCACAAGAGGTTACAGGTCAKTGTTGCCCCTTTGAGGGCTTCTGTTCCCCAGACAGCAGTTCTGGGGTAAGTGCAGATGAGTTCAAGGCACAAAGCCAATTTTCAAAAARATCCACGTAGACGGGGCCTGAATATTTGCCTTCCTTGCAGTCTCAGCAAGGCATCTTTATTATTCTTGAAAGAGCTGAGCCCAAATGCCCCCTCGTCCCTCTGGTCGGTGTGCGATGCCAAGTCTGCAGATGGACAGTTGCTGTCCACACTGAGAGAAACCCAGCCCTGAAATCAAAATCCCAGCAGCAGAGGAGGGCTTGTCCTTCTGCCTTGATTTATGTGCTGTATTTTAATAACTGATGGCAGGGCCATGGAAAGAAACAGCTGTAACCTTGGAAGTGCGGATCTGCAGCAAGCGAGTGACATTTAAGGTGAGTTTGGCCATTGGGGCACTCAGTTCAGCGGCCCTAGGGTGACCATCAGAGGAGCAGGAGTCCCAGATGCTGCTGCAGCGTCACCTGCGTGAGCAGAGGCTCCTGCCCGGGCGCTGGGGGATGCCCCCGCCRCGTGGTGCACTTATTATTTCTGCAGCCCTCCATCCCAGGAGGGTTTGGCATGTTGTTCTCCATGGCCAGCCCTCTCCCTTGAGCTGTCTTTGAACGAAGCCCTCCAGCTCTCCTGCGGTCTGGGACATTGGAGGCATCGTTGCTGCAGGCGCTTCAGCTCCATGTACGTGTTGGGGACTTGTGTTCCCTCTCCCCRGCATGACAGAGGCTGAGTGTCCTCTCCATGAGAGCAGTGTCCTTGCCCTCTGCGTCAGGGAAGCAGTTTATGGCATTAGCAGCGTAATTTTTTTTACTGTTAATATAAAAGGAAGTTTATGGGAACTGTGACAGGGGCTTGCAAACATCTTCCAGTAAATGGATTTCTGCTGCAAATGTCACGTTGCTAGAGGACATGAGAAATGTTTTTCTCCTCTTGCCATGGGTATTAAAATGAAGGGATAGCGTGTCCTTCGAAGCCTGGTGATCCATAGCAGCCCTGCCTGGCTCGGGAGTGTCCTGCGGCTGGCGGAGCACTCCGGAGCAGCCGGGCTTCCAAGGGCAGCGGTGGCAGCGCCGGGCAGGATGCAGCCACCCCGGCGCTCCCGGCCCCTCCATGGGTGTTTCAGAGGAGCTGCTGAGCAGTGGTGCCTCCCCGTTTAGCTCTTGGTGCATAGGCAGGTTGCCAGGCTTTTAAGGCTGGATTGAGACCCACATCACCCACCCTGTATAACATGGCATCYGGGAAAGGATTTTATTGTTGCGGACTCGCATTGTATTTGATCAGCCCTTGAGGGGTGGAGGACATCACGGGAGTCCATCCTGCTCACTAAAGAGTCTGGCAAATAGCCTCACCTCCGGCAAAACATCCCATTAGCTGTGGGGTTCCCAGAGGTACCAGATTGTTGAGGAATATAAAGCTGTATTTTGGGGAATTTGTTCATTATTATGTCCTGAGAATCTCCCCCCATTAATTCTTGTTGTTGCACRTGTGCATTCCTGCCCGTGGCCTTGCAGCTGCAGGAATTTCAGACGAGAAAAGGACTTGTTTTGATCTTGGGCAAACCCTGCTTGCCGTGGAGCTGTGGTGCGGGTTGGCGAGCAGACGTGGGCTCCTGTGTGTGGCTCCTGAGCGGGTGTTTGGGTCCAGGGGGTCAGTGCCTGCATGAGAACACGAGCCCCAACTTGATCACTTGGCTTTCTAATTTCCTCTGTAAATCATGGAAACAACATGTACCGCAAATGCCTTARTTCCGGGTTTGTCAGGGGGAGCTGAACAGTCTGTAACGGCAGTTTCTGTTCTGCTGGATACTTTTTGGTACCGTGCTCAGCACCCAGGGGCAACTTGATCTGTATTAGAGTTAATTTACAGTATCATTCAGAGAAAAAGGACATGGACCCCTCTTCTTTGAAAATAGTGTTAAATTGCCACAAAGTACTGGGAAATGACTGTGCTTARTTCCTAAAGATCAATTTATCCCCAGCAGATACGGGATGAGTGGGCAGCTTCGAGAATTGCTAATGGGCTCCAGAGCCTTTAGCTTCCAGCGGCAACTCCAGTCCCGTCCATGTCTGTGTTAATGTGAGGGGATTCGCCTGTCGAGGGACTGCCCCTCGGGAAGGGCCCGCGAGGTCCCGGCCCGTCCCGCAGACGTGTCGGGAGGCACGGGCAGAGCGGCCCAGCCGGGAGCCTCGGCGGCCGCAGGAGCACGAGCAGCCYGGAGGCTGAGCTGCCCCTCGGCCCTTGGGCAGCGCCTGCCGCCTCGGGCCCTGCCGCTCCCTGAGCCCTCGGGTGAGCGCTGCCCGTTGGGCGCTCCCGGCTGGCCCAGCCAGCGGCAGGCTGCTCTGTTACCACCGCGGGGGCTGCCGATGGCACAAGTCCTCATGGAAGGCTGGAGAGGCACCTGCCTGTCTTTCAGTGCCACTCGTCTTCCGCTCTACTTGGASTCTTTCCTGGGTGCCGCTTGGCATGCGGTTGACTGGAAGCTATAAACTTTGCCAGCGCTGTTGACATTGCCCCTTTTTTTGGTTAGTTTTATTCCAGGGAATGACAAAACTCGGTACGTGCCGGCAAAGCAATCTGGCAGATGTTGGGAGTGTCGTGGTGGGGCTGGGCACCGGGAATAGCTCGGCCTCGCGGATCTTGGCCCTGGAGATCCTGCCCCAGAGGCAGCCGGCRCGCTCCTTGCGGGGCAGGCCCAGGGCCTGGCTGCAGCAGCAGCACGAAGTGCTGCCCGCGGGGTTCGCAGGTCAGGCCTGCGGGAGCCGCAGCTTTTGAGAGCTGGCTGGTGCAGGAGCTTTTTCATTGTGCAGACTGCAGAGAAAGCAGCTCTTTCTTCTGCTCCTGCTCTCAAGTTATTTTTTCCTTTGCCGTTGTATGATTTTGTGTTTTATGTGGGAGTACCTAGCTAGCCTTTCTTTTTTTTTTTCTTTCCCCCTTGAGCTCTCTGATTTTGCTTTAAGAGTTACAGCTCCATTGATTGTATTGGCTATCTCTGGGAATGGTGTAGTGCTCGCTGGCGGTGGGCTCCCTGCTGCTAATGCTGCCAGTGGGACTCCAGAGCATTTAGAGCAGTCGATAGGGCTATCATGGCCTTATTTTCCACACTGCCTCCATCCTGGTGTCTGCGTAACGACCGCTCGGAGCACGTGAGCCCCCAGCTCATCGGTTACCGCGTGCTGGTGCACCCGGCGCTGCACCCCTGCTCAAATGTGTGTGTGACGTGGTGGAGAAGGGGCCGTGCGGGGACTGCAGCCTCCCTCGCGTCGCACTGAGCGCGTTCTCGGGTTTCATCTTTGGGTTCTCCCCAATTTCAGTTGACTTCTTGTGTCAGTTGGGACTGGGTGCTGAAAAGTGAGTGAAATTTGTTGCTCGTGGATCCCACTCACGTGCAGGCGCAGCCAAGCGCATCCCTTGCTGTTGGGGACATCCCGCCCCGCTGATACAGTCGTAGTTCCAAGGTGTTGGAAGAGTGTCATGYGGCAGGTTTACATCCATCTAGAGACATGTCCTGCCATGCAGAGACACTTGTATCAACCTCTGATGTAGTCTAGACTGCATCAGAGTTTGGGAGAAAAACAACCTTTCTGCTATAAATAGAGCCCGTAATAGAACCTGTTCACTAAATTATAAATGGGCCATAGAGCAGTCCCTGCTATTCCAGGCCCTCTGTTACCTCATGGCAAAAAATTCCCCGGAATATTCTGCAGTTGTTGCTAACAGATGGACTTAATCAGCTCTCTGGGAAGGAAACTGCCCACTGATGCCGTTACATTCCTCCTCTAGATCCCATCTAATGCCGAGGCTGAAAGAATCGCGCTCCCACGAGTCCCTGCTCAGCCCCAGCAGCGCCGTCGAGGCCCTGGATCTCAGCATGGAGGAGGAGGTGGTCATCAAGCCGGTGCACAGCAGCATCCTGGGGCAGGACTACTGCTTCGAGGTAAGGCTCCTTCGTGGCTGTCCGTGGCCGTTTCCATCACGTTACGTGGCTGCTTGGGAAGCAGGGTGCAGCATCCCATCTTGGACACTCGCTCCGCTGAAATGTTTCAGCTCTGAACTGCTGCACAAAGAGGCCGTTTCATAGGAGCAAATTACTTCATGTTTATGAGGAGAAGCATGCCCATAAAATCAGAGCTCTGAGCTGTTTGCCCTGTAGCCATTTTAGCAGCACTTGTTCCTGGCACAGGTGCTGCACTACTGAGGGCTCTGTTAGTAGAGCATCAATTAGTATTTTATGTTCATGTAGATATGAAAAGGCACTAATCTGTTTTCTCTGTTCACAACAATGTTTTACATGGTCACAAGGAGATCCTACTGTTGTCAGTGGAAGTAGAATTGAGGACTTTGTCTAGGAAAGCCAAGTTTTACTCCTTGTTTGGGTAAATGAAAGATCTGTGACTTTTCAACTTTTGTGGGGATATCATCTGCTGTGGCATGTGAGGTCACTAGCAGGAAGTGGAGGTGCGCCAAAAAACGTACATAGTGCATGTAGTATCACTTTATGATTATTTATCCTGCTTTATGGAAGACAAAGCGTTGCTTTTGATAGTGGATAAACGTAGGTAGAATGGGGAAATGGTTTTCCTGCAGCAGTAAGGTGGTGAATATCTGTGTTTCTGTGAGGAGCAGGTAGCCTCTTTATACTTGGAGGGAGAAGAACAGATAAACTGTGTGTCCCTGCTTGGATCTTGGATCATGCTCCAAGGGGGCTAAGGAGAATGCAGGTGTTTTGGATGCGCAGTGCTAGATGCAGATGACCTCGTCAGGATCAATGAACAGTCAGACAGCAAAGATTAAGATTTTTTTCAGTACTGGAATCAGTGCATTTTGAAAGAAATGAATGAAAATTCATTTCTTAAAATTTAAACAGGTGACAAAGGAACATTGGAACATTCTTTAAAAAAAAAAATAGCTCCAAACATAAACTGTGAAGTGGGCAGAGCTATAAATTTTCCAGTGCTGTTCATTCCGTGTAGAATTGTGCGAGTGCGGCAGGTCAGGAGGAGAACCGTTTTGTAAATTATATGGCCTCTATTACATTGCACTCAAGAAAGATAAAATGAAGCTAGATGGAGAATAGATGTGACATCCATAATATTAGAGTTGTTTACCAATTCTGTTCAGCACACAAGAGCAGGGGGAAGGATGTGAACGGTGCTTGCAGAAAGTTGACTGAGAGGGAATTACACAAGTCATGCATCTCTAAGGAGGAAGCAAATTTTATTTTTAAGTGAGCTGGATAAAGAAGAGTCATACAGAAAAAGATCATGTTAATTGCTGCTCTGCAAATCCTGTGGAGGAAAGGAAGAATGCCAGAAAACAAAAGGGACATTGATTTGTAACCGATGGTTACTCATCAGCAAGCTCCGGAGGGAAGGACTTAGGTGAGAGCTAAATGGCATCTTGTGTTAATGCATTGGACTTGCATCTCTGGAGAGCCTCTTTCAGAGGCTGATTTAGGTCAGAAATGAAATGAGTTTGCAGATCTTTCCAAATCCCTTCTGCGCAGCGTCCGCAATCCCTGCGCGCTGTGCGGGGCTGGCGGAGGCGAGGGGCTGGCGGCGCCCTTGGGCMGCGGGGCAGGAGGGTTGAGCAGGGTGGCCCCGCGCGGCGCCGCGCGGCACGGTGCCGCAGCCTCGCCGCGGGCAGCTGTGCAGCGCAGAGGCCAGCGAGGGGCAGGCGCTTTGGCACCCTGAAGTTGAGAAGGGAAGCGGTGCTGGCGTTGGGCAACACGGGCCTTGCGCTGCTGTGACTTATCTGCTCCTCATGGTGCGGCCCCGGGCAGTGGAGGGTGTCTAGGAAGTTCCTGCCGTTCGGCTGTGCGGGGCTGGGTGGCTCTGCACGCTGCTCCTCGGCGTGTGACGGGCCTGTGGGCTGCTGGCAGCCCAGCAAACGGAGCAGGAAGCGAGGCGTGCCAGAGCCACCTGCAGTGGAGAAACCTGAGCGGCTCGTGGAGAGGCGGCCGGCTCCGCGGGGCTCGCACGCACGACTGCGGCCCCCGGCTCCATGGGCACCGTGATCCGGCTGCTTCGGCGTGTTTAGTTCTAAGAGACTTGCCTTTCTGGACTTGCTGAGTACTTGGCAAGCCCTATTTATTCATTTTCTTCATTGATATTTCAAAAAAATATATATTTAACGTCATCTTCTTTTCTGGGAGAAAGACCTCGCAGTCAGCAGGATTATCTAGTGCCACTGCCTGTGCTGCGTCTGCTAAATACACAATAGGCAGCCTGGTCTGGTAAAAGGGACTGGCTCCAAATGGCCTCGACCATTAGTGAGGCCCCAGTGACTAGGAGCAGGAATGGGAATGAGGATCGAGGGATTTTGGTGCTGTCTTGGCAGACCTAAGACTTGCCCCATTGTGGAGCTCGTGTCCAGGCCRTGGCAGGACACAGCCAGGAGAATGTGGAACCAGGACAAAGAAAACCCAGCTAAAACCTTGGAGCTGCATCCTGGCCTTGCCTGAGCAGGGGACAGTTAGTGATGGGTTTAGCCCAGCAGTGCAGACATCTGCCGGTGCTTGCGCAGCCCCGCTGGCTCCCTGGCCGCCCAGCGCAGCGTCGAGGGCTGCCCCGGGCCCGTCTCCGGCTTCGTTTGCCCCACTGCAGCTCAGGTGTGAGCGTTTGTATTAGCCTGAGACCTTAATTTTTGCTCAGGAAAGATTTTGAGTGAAACAGCTTCATTAACTAGGGTACCACCTTCATTGGTCCCCAGCTGAGGTTCCTTGAAATGTAGTTTGAGCAGCCCATGCTCTTTCTAAGATGTTTTTAAAGTGACAAATTTTTGTTTGGTTTAGGGTCACCTGTCCAAGGATAATGGATAACTAATGTGAATAAGGAACAGTTTCGATATTAATGCATTAATATGCATTAGTTAATTGAGTTTATGCTGTACCTTAACAATATTTCTGCATATCCAAAAACTTGATGAGACCAGAATGTGCTCTTTATTGAGCTAAYTAATCTCTCACAGAGATCATTACTACATATGATGTTCATGTCAGAGATCAAAGCCAAGATACTATTGTACCGACGGGGAGATGACAGTTTGCAGTTCACATGCTAGATGGGACCTTCAGTTGCCACTGGATAAAGAGTCTCTGTTTGGGCCCAGGAGAGTTCCCCGGCTCTCGCCAAGTGCAGCACTTACAGTTCCAAGGTTCTGAATAACTAGTTAATGGGTAATTGATTTGGAATTAAATCATAAATTTTACCATGGCAAGTCAATGCCAATGTATTTACTTATGTGTAGCAATAAAGTATATTAGATATTCTACTTAACAGATAGCTAATAAAGGCAGTGACATTTAATTAACRGATCTAATAGAAAGATGACCAAATCTTGTTCTTATTTATTTGGATAGGAGTCCTTTTGAGTTCAGTAGGATCAACGTGTGCCCCTAAAAACAACTTCTCTTAAAGAGAACTTTTTTGAGGAACAAGTTATTATTCCCTTCTACAGAGATTGCTGCCTAATTCTCTAGTCTGAGAGCAGTGTTCAAATGCATTTGTGYACAGAGTTCCTGTCAAAACAAAAGAGAAGAAAAATGGCCTTGGAGGAGAGAGAGCACAGCCCAGCTCACTGAGAAGTGTGTTTGACCGGTTCCTCCTTTATTAACTAATTTCTAAGCAGTCAGTGGGAATTCAATTTTGTGGACCTTACTTTGAATTTGAGTGGGTTTTTCCCACTTTGGGGTATGGAACATGGCTGTGACTGCAGCCGCACGGCCTGGCTGTACCCGGAGAGTTCTGGGCTCTGCTCTTTGGACCTGAACAGAGGTGATCCTGAGTCTTGCTAAATCGGATTAGATACCTTAGAACTAGGACATGCCTCAAGTCCTGAAGTTTTAGGTTCTTGTCTGAGCAGACTTGAGGCCTTAGAAGATGACGATGATTTGGCAGTTGCTGAGCTCTGCTTGTGTGCTGTTTGTCTTCCTTGATGCTTCATTGTGAGCTCTGTACTTAAAACCTAATTGGTACTTTTGTGGTCCTTGTAACTGGCTGTTGGACGTCACAGCATCCGCTGAAGGAATGCGGCTCTGCCTGGTGTCCATGGGTGTCATCCCGAGCAAGTGTGGGACTGTGCTCGACCTGAGGGCTGGCTTGGGAGGTGTCCTGAGACGAGGCTAGAGGCAGAGGATCACCGGGACATGGGCATCGCTGCGGGCACCGGCAACCGCACAGCATCCRGGTCTGGGTCTCTGGGCTCCCAGAGACCTCCGTGGGGGTTCAAGGGTATAGGCTGACAGGAGCATCTGCAGCAGCACGTGAAGCAGACCRGGTTTGTAATGGGAAACTTTGAAGRAGCTGGAAATACACTGAGGCTGAGAGGGTGAAGGCTGCTGTAAAGATAATACAACTGTGTCTGTCAATATGGATTCATCTGTTCTTAGAAAGAGAAGCTAACTTGGGTCTAGAAGAACTTTTAGTTTTGCAGATCAGAAAATGAAAGCGTGTAAGGACAGGGAAGCGTGTCTGCACTGAGCCCAAAGGAGGGAACTGGAGCATCAAGGGCTCGAGGGTTTCTTGCATTTGCTGCAGAAAGACAGGAGAGGCCTCTTGTCATTTTGCTCTGGTTAGAAAACGCCTGTGTTCAAAGGAGGGGATGTGTTCAGCTCRCCTTTGAGGTCAGCTAATGACAAACCTTGGTGAGTACCAGCTCTGCTTTAAGAACAGGTTAGGCTGCTGGGAGATGTGTGAAATTAAAGGAGTTTGCGTCTCACAGAAGCAGATAACCCCGTGCACAGTGTGTAGAAACAAACACTGGGACATGGTGAGGATCACACTGGTAGGTCCAGCTTGGAACTGGAGGAAAGGGAACTCGGAGGGGAGTTAGTTRAAGTACCAGCCGGGTCCTGTGCACACAGTGAGGTACATAAAGAGCAGTACTGGGCATTGCCAAGTGCCGTGAATACCAAGAAGGTCAGAGCAGCTGAAGGAGGCTTTTAAGAGGAGCACAGAATTGGTAGTTCTGCAGTCACAGTCCAGCAGCTCTCCTGCACGGCCTAAAGGAGATATTTCTTTGAGGAGTATGTGTATGTGAGAGGCCTCCTCTAGTTCAGAGTCGTGGCTGGGCAGGGCCTTGGAGCATTTTGGCCTTTTAGACCCTGGCTCAGTAGCTGCTGCTGAGGAAGCCTTCCTGGTGTGCTGGATAGCAGGGAGCTGGTGGCCACCGCTTTGGCCGAGCCCGGGAGATGCTGCTYACGCTCCCCGGGAGCTGGCGGCTCGTACGTGCTCCTGAAACGCACCTGAGGATTTGCACTCTCTTGTGGACCTTGGGGATCGAAAGCGTCTCACGTGTAGGGCTCCAAATCTAGTGTCTTCTGGTGGGAGAGAGAGTGAGTAATTGGGGTTTGCGTCCATGATTAATTCTGTGGCATGCAGAGTCGCTCCCTTTCCGTTAGCCTTAGGTGCTGTTGTTTCATGCTTGGGTAAAGCTGTTTGCTGAGGAGAGATGGGGGAGAATCCACCAGTGCTTTTCCCTGCTCTCTCCCGCTCCCCCAAAACACAGTCTGCATGTTCTGGTCAAGATATAATCCTGTTCCTTTCCCTGTAGGTGACGACTTCATCAGGAAGTAAGTGCTTCTCCTGTCGTTCTGCAGCGGAGCGAGATAAATGGATGGAAAACTTGCGGCGTGCCGTGCACCCAAATAAGGTAGTGGCTTTGAGGCATCGCCTCCGCTCACGTTCGCTTCCTTGCTATTGCTTTTTAAAGCCCAGCACAGAATCGCAGCAAGGGACGTGTTGTCCTTTCACTAAGTGTGATTGTGGGTCAGCTTTTCTCCGTACTGCTTTCTTCCACAATTATATTTACAGCAAAATGCTAATTATTTCTTCCCCCCTTTTCGCAGCACATGCTGCTTACAGCTGTTGCTGTGAAATGTTCAGATCTCAAGAAGCTTCAGTCTTGCTCTCTTACTAATGATACTTGTCACTTATATAGGATTTTCCACCTTCCAAAAGCTCTGGGACAGATGGCTGGTAACTGCCAGCACAGTTACAAGACTGAAAAAGGAGTTCACATAACTCCTTTCCTGATGCTGGTGCTTGCATTGTCTGCTTGCGAGTTGGGGAAACTCGGATGCGGCATCAAAGGGAGTTCTGCAGAACTGCAGGGCAGTCTGGTTCTGGAACGGAATTTGTTTCTCTGAGAGGCAGCTGAGTCGTCAGAATCAGGCCCTCTGGAAACCWCAGACACAAATTCCTCTCTTCACTAGAACACAGGACATCCAATACACGTTTTTATGATCCACTAAGGCTAAATGCAGCCTAAAATAAAGTCTACAGCTGCTTCTTCATCTCTGCATTGGGGTTAGCTAACAAAGATTGATCAGCGCTAATCAGCTGCAGGATTTCACAGCTGATGAGCTCAATCAACAAGTGATTCTGCTGATCATGGAAAATGCAAATGATGGGAACCTATGAATTCATTGCTGGCATCAGAAATGCCTAACTGTGCACACAAATTCGATCCAGGCCTACAGGTTGCTAAGAGATCCCTCTGTGTCTGAGCTGATTGTGGCTAGGTCAGTGCCACGCGGTTCCCTGATATCAGAAAGGGTGCAACGGAATGGACAGGACTTGAACCTCTACCAGTGCATTCCTGCATGCCAGACGTGGCTGCTGCATCCAGAGCTCTGTGCCGGCCTTACAGCAGCCCTGGTAGCCACGATCTGAAAGAGCTTGGTCAGCTTTGGGTGATGAGACCCTGTCCTCTGCTGCGAGAGCTCCTGGGCTTGGCGGAGGGCGAGGGTGCCCGTGTCCATGTGCCTTTGAGATGCCATGTGCCAGTTGCTGTGGAAGTAAGCCCTCCCCTTGGATCATGCTGTTAGTGCTGGCTAACTCTGCATCTTTGTTTGGCTTCTTAGACAATACGCTCTGTGTCTGGTTTGATATTTCTGTCAGGCCTTTGCTGCTGTTGTGTAATTTCCTGCGTGCGCTTCCTGGCCCGACAGTACCTCATTGTGGATCTCCAGTAAAAATGTCCCCGTCCGGACTCCTGAGCGAAGCAGGCAGAATAAACCCTGGTTGCTATTTCAGTGATGGGCTTCCAAACAAAGCCGGTCACTGCAGAATCCGTGCGAGGGATCAGCTGCGAGCACTTGAGCCGTTCAGCCCCTCCTGCAGCAGCTGCCCCTGGATGCTCTTCCAGGATGAGGTCATGGTCGTTGGGGAGGCTCTAAACATCCTTAGGATCCTTAGCCGCATCGGTGTTAAAACAATACCGAAGCCGTGGTCCTATTTCTGGTTTTTAATGATCCTCCTGTGTGACTGGGTCTGTTTCCCACAGTTCCTCTTGATGTTTTAGTTGGATACTCTGGTCTTCAGTCCTAAAATCTTGCGAGATTTTGCAAATGCTGCTTTCCGTTACAGAGGTGATGGATTTCAGCCATGGATGAGTCAATCCCTGAGTGTGCAGTGGGATCCCTTTATTGCTGGTCTTTCATAGTAAGGAAATAGACTCCAGTGCTGTGGGAAAACAGCAATACCAGAAAAAAGAGAGGGGGAAAGCAATGGCACCTGTAATGCAGCTTTTGTTTTGTAAAAGCCATTAATTATTGGGAAGGCCTCTTCCTATTTCATTTGAGGCCCACTTGGCAGAGAGTTGGAAATGGTACATTTATAATTTGGAGGGAATTTATCTTTCTTGTTCCTTACATTAATTGGCACCAGCAGACATGGGGAGCACAGTGATATTTGGAAAATTAGCATAAGTAGTGTTATTATGCAAATTCCTGAGAGCCAGTATTTCCTTAAAATAAAGTATAATTAAGCCTCTGCTCATTTAGCACATCCGAAATAATTAACTCATATCCCCAGTTTTGYTGTTTATAGGTTTGGGTTTTTCTCTTGACCTTTTTTCCTTTGTATCTTTTTTTTTTAGGACAACAGCAGGAGGGTAGAGAATATGTTAAAGTTATGGATTATTGAAGCCAAGGACCTGCCAGCAAAGAAAAAGTACTTGTGTGAATTATGCCTGGATGATGTTCTTTATGCACGAACTACCTGTAAATTGAAAACTGATAATGTCTTTTGGGGGGAGCACTTTGAATTTAATAACCTCCCATCACTCAAAAACATTACGGTGCACTTATACAAAGAGACTGACAAGAAGAAAAAGAAAGATAAGACCAACTTCATCGGACAAGTGAACATCCCCGTTGGCTCTGTCACGGGCCGGCAGTTTGTGGAGAAATGGTACCCAGTGGTCAGCCCCAACCCCGGCAAGGGCAAATCCCCAGGGCCCATGATCCGCATCAAGTCGCGCTACCAGAGCATGAGCATCCTGCCCATGGAGATGTACAAAGAGTTTGCTGAGTACATCACCAACAACTACATGGTGCTGTGCTCGGTGCTGGAGCCCTCGCTGAGCGTGAAGAACAAGGAGGAGATGGCGTCTGCGCTGGTTCACATCCTGCAGAGCACGGGCAAGGCCAAGGTAAGACCCCTCTGCCGCCCCGTGTCCCRTTAGGGTGGAGGAAGTCTGTGCCCAGCGTTTCAACTTGTTGGAAGTCAGCATGTGCACTCGGCTTTGGTTTGGTTGCAAGCCTTCCTGCCATTAGTATCCTGTGATTTTCCTTTTTATTGTGAGCAAGTTGGTAGCAGATGCAGTGCAAACTGCTTAATTAGAAAAGAGGTTCGTGGGACCAGGGAGATGCAAACATAGTAATTTTTCTTTGCTGTTGGAGTCTAAAGGGCCAGATTTATTTTATAARCAGGCACATGTACATGTTCATAAACAGGCACAAATGCAAAATATGCAAGAAAGCTGTTTTCAGGGACCAAACGTAGGCTGACTTGCTGTGCTAAAAGTTCTGTTTTCTGGGTTACTCCGAGTTTCCTTGGAAGCCCCAGCAGGTCTGGGGAGAAGAGCAGCCAGGAGAGGCAGAGTCTTGGACTGGCGCCTGGCCGCAGCCCAGGGCAGGCTGGGCAGAGCCCTTGGGGGCAGCGCCCTGGGCGCCGGCGCGGAGCCGCGGGGGCTGTTTGCGCTGAGCCCAGTCCTGCAGCCGCGGCTGTGGTGGGCGCAGGGCTGGGCACAAGCAGGATGGCCGGGGCGWTGGCAGCACTGGGGAGACGTGGGCTCCTCACGCGATGGGCACGGCGAGCCCTTCCTTCCCCTCACTCCCCGCACTGCTGCTTCGTGGATTAGACTTAATGACCATCTGTCAAACAGAGAGGGGACTCGGCCTCCTTATCTAGTTCAAGGCAGGCGAAGCTCCTGAGCGGATTGCGAGGCTGGAACTCTGCCATCCCAGAGGAGGTGAAAATAGCCCTGCCAAAGCCGTGCCCTGGCTGCGGGTGCCACCGGCAGGGCCGGCCTCGTGCCCGTGGCCGCCGCCTGCGCGGGTGCAGAGTGGCCTGTGTGCAGYTCCCAGCGGTGCATGTGCGACAGGGAGCACCTTGGGTTGGCCTCTGGCCACTGGCCCTGCACGGGGACTGTGCTGGTGCCCACGCTCCTGCTCGAGTGCAGATGTGATACAAAGCCCCGCCGTGATGAGCGCAGCTCCAGTGCGCTGGCTCCGAGTGTCACCGCGATCTCGTGTGCGCTCTCGTCTGAGCTGCTGTCGCTGCTCTGCCTTTCTGTTCTCGCCAGGCCTGGGAGGTACAGGAGGCAGCAAGCAGGTTTCTAGACATGTGTCTGCATCCGTGGCAAGATCCCAGACACTCTACACAGGGGATGTGGCAAACAGTAAACAGGCTTGATAAATATCCCCCTAAAATGAAGCCTCTGCTTTCGCTGGCTGTCATCTGCCATCAGCGCCAGCACAGGGCTCTGAGAGTGCCAGAGCAGCAGGAACTGCTGGAGCGGGAAGCGGGGTGATGCCTGCCTGTGCAAGAGCCAGACAAGCAGGGAAAGGAGCAAGGCCACRGGGAGGTGGAAGGAGCGGCGCATGCCAGGGGGGGACAGTGCCACCCTGCCCTGCCCGCAGCAGTCGCACAGCCTCTCCTTCATCCTTGTTGCTCCGCGTGGAAGCGGTTTGATTCGTTCCCCTTCCATCTGCACGTGGCCGGGCTGCTCGTGCAGCTGGTGGAGCTGCTGCCCGTGCCACTCTGCAGTGCCCGTGCACCCGGCGCTGCCCTTGACCGTGTCCGGCTGTCTCCGAGCAGCCCGGAGCTCCTGAAATCCAGCTGGAGCGGGCRCAGGGCCCGGGGCAGGGGCTGCCTGAGGCCTGTTAGGGGTTCGTGTCTTCGCTGCAGGCGTTCCGTGCGAGGCGCAGGGCGCAGCGCTGCCGTGGGCTCTGTGGTGCGTGCGCGGCAGCTGCCAGGTYGCCATCCGGAGTGTGTGTGGGGAGCCTGGAGTTGCTGCAGTGCTGGGGGACACTCCGTGCGCCCGGTGGGATGTGATTGTGGGCGCCTGCTTCCCAAAGCCAGCCCAGTGGCCGCCTTGCTGCTTTCCCAGTTTTCCCCTCATCTAGCCTTGCTCTTGGGCTGCCTTTCAGCCTCCAGAGCTCAGCTGACGACCGTAGGTGTATGAAAACTTTGGTGTCCGAGCGGCTGGTAGATCAAACCCAGTAGCTGACAGAGTTTGCTCCAAGCGGCTGCTTGCTTGAAATAAATATTTATGGCATGGTGAGTGGAGCAAAGGATAAACATGTGTCCTGATTTGTTTGTGCTGCGGGGATTGGCTCCTCTGAAGCAGATGGATGCGCTTGCCCCGTGCGAGGTGCCGCAGGCCCCGCTCCCCGGCGTGGGGCAGAGCAGCGTGTGGAGCGCGGAGCTGGGCGCTGGGCAGGGTGCGCGGGAGGTGGCCGGGGTGCCGTGAGGACAAGGCCCTGGCTCGGGAAGCGGCCTGGTCTGCCCATGCTGGGAGCAGCGACGCAGGGTGCTGCGTGGGTGCAGGCCTGGGGGCAGCTGGCTCGTTTTGCCTGCAGAGACTTTCTGACTGTATCTTATAGCTGCTATAGTTGAGCTAATTGTGTTTCGGGGGGGGGTTTCATGAGCACAGAAAGCCCCCTCTGCCCTTCGTCCCAGAGGTAACAGTGGGCGCTGTTGTAGAGCCCTTGTGTTAACCCTCTCCTTGCTGCCCCGGCTCCTTCTCCCAAGCAGACCGAGACCAAGGTGGGTTTGGGAGGATGGGATCCCTGGGTTCCAAGCAGGCAGCGTTGCTGGGGTTTCCCAGCAGAAAAACGCGCAGTGCTGGCGTAGCAGGGCTGTGTGGTGGGCAAAAGCCAAGGGCTTGGTATCCCCTGGGTTCCCTCCACTCAGCACCTGCACGTCCCTTGCTGCTGAGCTCCAGTGTGAACRTGCTCCCCGACACTCATCCCCACCTCATCTGCAGCCCTCTCAGCTCTTGAGAATGTCTTTTCACCTCTGCATAAAGGGCCCTGCTGGACTCTGGGCTAGTCTTTGAAATACACAGTAATCTTATTATCTTTATCAATTCAATCCTCTTATGGTTAAGTCAATCCTATTAATCAGGCTTGCGATGTGGAGAACGTTATTTCCAAGTCAGTCCTCCCGTCAGTTGGTTGTGATGTGAGGAACAACAAACTGGGCCCGCGGGGAGCGCGTTGGGGAGGCAGGGCCGGGCTCTGCCGCACCCTGTGTGCGGAGCTGCCAGCGGCTGCGCCACGCGGGCCGGGCACCGCAGGAGCTGCAGGGCGGAGGSGCTGCGTGCCGCGTGTCCGGCATGTCCGGCTGCACAGGGGCCTGTGCTGGGGCAGTTGTCCCTCCCAGCTGCGTGCAGAGCAGTTAACCGGCTCCTGACCCGCTCCCAGCCTCCTAACGCCCCCAGCTTGGGAACATGCCAGGGCCGGGGTTCCAGCAGGTGCCCTGGGAGGCCCTGCTGAGCTCACGCCTGGGGCATTGGAAGGGGGCCCGGAAGCCGGCGCTGCCTCCTGCTGCCATGCCCTGCGTTTATTTATTTGTGACATGTTCTTCTCTATTAGCATGGTTGCAGCCGTAGAAGTTGCACAGGTTCAGCTGTGTCCAGGCCTGAGCAAATATCATTAAAATAAACACAGAATAACCCTGAAGAGCTCTGCTACCACCCTTRAAGTTTTATTGTAGACCTTCTCCTTCCCCTCTCAACTGTGATATAATGAAATAAAGCATCTTATTTTCTTACATTGCCGGGGACCCTAACTAAAAACAACCCCCTGCTGATCTCTGCTGCTCAGAAACAAGGAGTTTTATTGGCTTTAGTTATTGCATTTTACTCAGAGCCTTGTATGTGGGTGAGTGAGGCCCCCGCAGGGATTCGGCGGGTGTTTGCACTGGGCTTGCGTCTCGCGAGCACCACTGCCGGCGCGGCCAAGGCACAGACCCCGGTGTGTGGTGCGGGGCGGATGCGGCTTGATCGCCTGGAGCTGAGGGGGGAGCTGGACCCCAGCCCCGAGATGGGAATCGCGGGGAGTCCCAGKAGGTGCCGTGTGACCCCAGGCTCGCTGTGCTGGGGGGAGCGGTGCTTGCCGGGGAGCCCTGTGGGCTCTGCTGCAGGCGCCGCATCCCTCTGGGGACTGGGTCACTGCAGACGGCCCAATGGGAGAGCAACCACAGCTGGGGTTGCAGAGGGATCTCATCTGGCTTCCTGGTGGGTCACACACAAATGGGTATTTGCCTCATTCTGAATTCTGATAGGCTTTGTAGATAGATAAAATCATCAAAATGGTGAAGAAGATGGGAAAAATGGCCAGAGCTGGTCACCTGCACTTCAGCAGCTTAAGCCAGCTGGGACTGGCTCTCAGTTCGTTTCTGCATTGGAACTTGCACCCATGTCCTGCCCGGCRCTGCTCCCTGCGTGGGACCGTGTCCCAGCCGCGCTGCCAGTGACCCAAGCGCAGTGGCCCCGGCCATGCCCCTCTGACGAGCAGCCGCTTGGCCCAGAGGAGCTCTCAGCCTCTGTGTTGTGGAGATAATTAGTGTGTTGGGGAAGTGACAGGAGAGAGACTCGAGCAAATCCAAGGTCAGCGTCTGCTAATTGAGACTCAGCACCTTGTGTCAGCCTGAGCACAGCCTGGAGGCGGAACGAGCCCGGGAGAGACCCGGCAGGTGAAGATGGAGCAGCCGGGTAGCGGCTGAGCGCGGTGAACAGGACTTTAGAGCTGCCTCCCAGCTTGGCTGGGAGAAGAGGCAAAATCAGAGGGAACAGCAGACGGGAGGCCCCAACTTTGGTGCCCARGGGCTCCTGCCTTTGCAATGTTGCCAGAGGACTACGGGCTTGGAGGCCCCGAGGGAGGGGATCACCCGGCTGTGGAAATGGACAGTGACTGGGAGACGTCTGGGACGTGGCAGCGCCATTAGGGCCCCGCTGAGCTCCTGCTGTGGGGCTGGGGAGCTCGGGGAAGGGCCGAGCCTCAGCCCGGTGTGGGGCCAGGCCGTGAGGACAGGGCACGTGGCCCAAGGGCAGCAGGGAGCCCTGGGCTTCATCGGCCAGCACGGAGGTAGCCAGGCAAGAGTCGCCCTGTGCCCGTCCCCAGGGTGATTTCACGAGCCTGGCAGAGTCCTCTTCTCCCTTGGGTTCAGGGGCTCCTCCGAGACTCTCTGTGGCKCAGGAAGCCCGGCCGGGTGCTGCGTCCTCAGGCCCCGCTCTGCACGTTCCCACTGCGCGTCGCAGTGCTGCATATACCCACTGCACTATATGTAGTACTGCATAGAGCTTCCTTCCTGCGCCAGTAAAATGTTTAATCTTGCTAACGAAGAGAAGCGGAGCAGGCCACCAGTCCAGCTGGTCAGTGRGCTGGGTTACTGCTGCCGCTCTTCATGGGGTGAACAGGACTGCCTGGTACCACACAGAGATTGACCCTCGCTTTTCTAGATGTAAAACAGACATGACCGCAGCCGGCATCTTCCTTTGTCTGGAAGAGAGGCAGGAGCTGAAGGGCTTCGACAGTGAGTGGTGTGGGCAGGAATGGGCCAGGAGGAGGCTCCGTTTGCAGGTCACCCTTGGGACTGAGCACGTGCCGCGCTCCCAGTGCTTTCGTTCCTTGTGTGAATGGGTGTCCCCGTGAGAACCAAGCGCCTCGCAGAGTGCCTGGGTGGCAGCCCTGTRGCAGATGTGGCCACATCTGCCTGGGGAGCCCAGCGCTGCTGTCCTGGACGCTTCCTCCGTCTGCACCCCCCAATTCCTTACGTGTGGTGCAGTCACAACAGATAACGAGCTAACCCTTAATGAAGGGTTATTACTGAGCTGATTATTTTGTTTTAGAGGAAGGCAGTTTAAAAACAGTGCCTGTGGTTATATAAGTAAATTGAAATCTGTTTCTGGCGTGAAGAAGCAGTCAGAGCTATAACGTGCATCACTGACACAGCGGCAGCATCCCGGCTTCCTCTGCCATCCAGGTGAGTGGTGCCGAGCGGGAGGAGTCGATGTCTCAGGATCAGCTCTGAGCTGAGCGCAGGTTCCTACCTGATTTTTCCCATGAGGCAGAGAACAGGATCTGCAGCATTAGAAAACTGCAAGGCCCTGTATGAACRCGAGCTACGCCACGGTAAACACGACAGCACACGGGGGGTTTCCAGCAGAATGCCTGGGGTGAATCAGGACACACGACCCTCCGCTCAGGTGGTGCCCTCACTGGGGCAGACATGGAGCTGTCCTAACTGAGGTTTTTATGTTAAAATTTACGAGTCAAAGAGCCTGAATTGAGGCACAGGGCAGCTGTCACTGTGCATTTTGCTCCTACTTACCAGCTCCATTACTGTGCAGCACAGATGATGAAAAAATGGCATGGTATTTGATTCCATGCATTTCACTCCAAAAATGTGCCCAAAATGGAACTGTAGCAGCACTGTTTATTTTCACATATACTAAGTAAATGAGACATCTGAGCACCATGATGCATGTTACTGATTTGATTCTCAGGCATTAACTGTGGGGCGCAGCTCGTGACATATAAATATGTGGCTGATTCGCAACCAGTGCAGTTAGATACCAAATGCAGCCACTTAACAGTGGATGGAGCCTGGCCACAAAATGTGGGTGGAGGCTGAGATGCGACCTGTGACCGGTTCAGGTGCTCATGTGGTGCACGACTGGAATGAATAACGTATTTGGAGTGCAAAAGCTGTGACTTTCTGGACATTTATTTCTCTGCTTATTTCTCTGTGAGAAGCAAAGCCAGCCTGGTAGTCATGTAATGCAGCGTGCACAGCGAGGGTCACCAGCAGCACCCGCGTTTCCTGTTGGGACCTCTCTGGAGAAGGGGTGCATGCTCTGCTGCGCCGCACGAAGCGGCTCTCAGTACATGCTGACCCACCATGGACTTTGCTTTCCAGGATTTCTTGACTGACCTGATGATGTCTGAAGTTGATCGCTGTGGTGAGAATGAGCATCTCATTTTCAGGGAGAATACACTGGCCACCAAAGCAATTGAAGAATACCTGAAGTTGGTGGGGCAGAAGTACTTGCAAGATGCCTTAGGTACGTACAGACACTGGGCAGGTCTCACCCACACCATACGCTTCTTGGCTCTGTGCTCTAGGTGGCCCTGCTTGAGCAGGAGCTTGGAGTAGATGATCTCTGGGGCCCCTTCCAACCACAGCCCTTGGAGGATGGGTGATAAAGGCTGCAGCTTTCCCTGTGTTCGGCATGGCAGGAGAGCCCTCAGCAGAGCCCTGGTGGCCGTCACTGCACCAGAGGCACCAGCTCTGACCCGGCTGAGGGTTTCTGGGGCCGCTCACAGGAACCTGAAGACGGCAGCAGTCTTTCCTGCCTGGAATGAAGTGCAGGTGTCCTGGAAGGAGCCAGGAAGGTGCAGGCCACACGCGCAGGGAGCAGCAGGCAGGGCTGGGGCAGCAGCGAGTCCCAGGCGAGGGGCACTGCCCCCCATTAGCTCTTCTGCTTCTAGGGGTGACACAGCAGCATTTGAAGGTGTTCTGCTGTCCGCCAAGCGTGTCTCCGTGCTGGCAGTGTCACCGGGCCCGACTGAACCCCTCCCCTGCGGACCCCGCACGCAGGCGCTTCCCCCCTTGGTTACAGCGCTGTCGAGTGGCATCTCCCAGATTGCAGTGATGAGAGCTGCTTCCCAGCTCACATCAGGAACTTGCCTGTTTTTTTGAAGGGCTGGCTATGCTCAGGGCTCCAAAAATATTTCTTCTGATGTGAACAAAAATAATTAGTGTTTGCTTYGGGGTAGGTCAGGAAGGAATTGCTGCAGAGCCCAGGCAAGACGGGCTGAGGGGGGGGCTCTCTGAGGCATCACATCCAAGGGCAGCCGGACCGGCTGCGCATCCTCACAGGAGGATGAGCTGCATCTCTATCAAGCTGTTAATTTTTCAGTACGTTGGATGTCTTCTAATGGATTTGTGTAATTTTAGGAAGGAGCGCAAAAAAAAATTTATTAATATAACAATAATAATGAAATTGAGGAATGGGAGATCATTGAGTCAGTCAAGCCAATGGACCCTACAGTATGAGGAAAAGGGGTGTTTATGTGTTTCTGCTTTGTAATGCCTTCTGTTTGAAGGCAAGTCTGTAACTAGATTACCTCCTTGAATTTCTAAAAAGCCAGGAGATTAATGAAAGAAGAAAATTTCCTAATATTCTGCTTCAAGGGCTCAATGCAAATGCTGCCACAGTAGTTGCAGCTAGTATAGGAGGAGCCTGCAGCTCCTACTTGCTGTTAGGGGCGTGGATTCTGTGTAGACCTTTTATCAGTGAAATGATTCATCTTTCTGTCACAAGGCAGCCCAATGCAGCCTGGTGCTTTCCTTTAAACCATGCAGCTCCAGCAGCAGGGCAGGATGTAAGAGCGGGCAGCAGGGGGGCTCCTGAACTCCCTGCYGGAGCTGCAGATGTGTCGGACGGGCTCTGCGGTACTGAATTACATCTGTTTGGGCAACAGAAGGGGAGGAACACAGATAGGCTGCAGTGGGCAGAAGCAGGAGAGCAGAGACGGAGAAAAAAACCCGTGGAACTTGGAGACAACAGACCTTCCCAGAGCAGCACCCGGGCTGTAGGTCCCGGTGCGGCCCCGGAAGCAGCRCGGCCCTCTGGGCACAGAGCACAGCCGCTCTGGGCACCTTCCCGAGGGGCCCTGCCCACCCCTGCCCAGCAGCCTGACCGTGTTCCCCGGCACTTGCAGAAGCAGCTGGATCCTACCTGCTAATTCGCATGGGAATCCAGGCACCAGCGATGTGGGGTGGGACGCTGCAATGCAGGACTGCTGCTCTGCTGCTCTGGGTGGGCGAGGAACAGCCAGTCAGCAAACAGGAGTGCATGGAGACTTGAAGAAATATTTTAAGCCAATTTTGTGTGATGCTCAGCTCAAAATAAACCAAGAAAATTGTTCCTTTCCTTTAATTAACTATTTCTCCTGTGAATCACATTGGCTCATCAGTGTCAGAGTGGTGTAATAGGCAGAGTCTGCCATAGCAGGACATCTTACAAATAATTACACAACTTGCCAACATACTTTCTGCTGGAGTAGCCCAAGGGATCATTTCTAAAATGGGTATAATCTAGGGGGAGCAGGGCAGGCTGAGGGGAGCAGTCTTTTGGCACAGTAATTCTGATGGAATTGCCCACAGCCATGTAGAGGGAGCTGCCAGCTGGACAAGAGGGATAAAACTTGCTCATCACAGGTCTGGGTGCCTTTCTGCAGGGCTTCAGAGCTGTGCGATTTTGGGAGCCACCTCCCGGCACTTTGATACTCCCAGCTTGGCTCCTTTGGTGTGTCGGGCTGGGCTAGCTCCTCRTGCGCCCGGGCTCACAAACCATCGTGCTTCAAGAGTGCCTCTCTAGTGTCTCCAAAATCCACCATTGACTCTCTCTTTTACAGGGGAGTTTATCAAGGCTCTGTATGAATCAGATGAAAACTGTGAGGTGGATCCCAGTAAGTGTTCGTCCTCGGACCTTCCTGAACATCAGAGCAACCTGAAAATGTGCTGCGAGCTGGCGTTCTGCAAAATCATCAACTCCTACTGGTCAGTATCCCGCAGCTGCTGCTCCCCTCCGCGTGCATTCAGCCACTGCAGGAGCAACAGAGCGCAGGGCGGTGCAGCAGGGCCGTGCAGCASAGCTGCACAGCAGAGCCGTGCAGCAGGGTCACACAGCAGGGCCACACAGTGCTGGCGTCTCGGTGCCACCAGGCACTCCTGGGCTCCTGTTTGCCATTGGGCTCTGTGCTCTGCCCTGCTCTGGGCTAAGCTCCTGTTCCCATCTGCGGGGCACCTTGCAGGGGCAGAGATGGGGACTTCGCTGTCCCTCTGCCTGTGGTGCAGCCTGAGGCAGTTCCCACTTSTTCATTTGTGGAGGGTACATAAAGGTTCTTGCCATTAGCTGGGATAGGCTTGAGGAAGCCAAATTAACTGGACTCAGGTAGTTACCTCTTCCTGTTGCCAAGGTGGCTGTCAGGCCTGGTTGTGCTCACGATGTTGTCTCTTGCCAACGTAGGACTGGGAGCCAGGAGTCCAAGGTCTGCTACAGATGGTGCCTTCAAAGATAACCTGAAAGGGAAGAAATGGGCTTGTGGCCCTCTTTTGAGGAATAAAAATGCTAGACTTGTAGTTTTTCTGCTTAAAACTCTCAGCTTAGTTTCTATTCATGTATTTTGTAACAACATAGTTGTTGCAAAACATCAACTTAGAATTTTTTGGAGGAAGTCTTTGATGATAAAGACTTCTCTTTCTCACTGCAGCTGCTGTGTTGCTGTGTGTAATCTAGGATATCCAGTGTGCCCTCCTGGAAGCTCAGGAAGGAAGGGAATTGCTCAGGGAGAAAACAAGCAGCCAAAGTCTCACTTGGACTTAAATTTATCTACCACAAATAACAAAAAGGGCAGATTTCTCTGCAAGTAGCCTATACCTATCTTGGGCCAATTCATAATTCTCTGACTCAGGAATTGCACTTACCAACCTTCCCAGGAGATTTTCACTGTTTTTAGTCACCACTGGGTTATGATGGTTTGAATTAGTTTCCTCCTAAAAATAACCAAAACAGAACTAAAAGGTCAATCTAAAAATAGACTTGAAAAGTGACCCAAGGAAAGTCAAGAACGCATGGAAACTTTCTTTCTCTGGCACTCTCTTCCCTTAGGAAAAGGCCAAAACAACAGAGCTGCTGCTCTTCAAGTATTTCTCTTGCCGTCCGTTGTGCTCAGTGGTTCTTGGGGATTAATTGGGCTGATGATGTGTGTGGGATTGGCCAAGGTATCCTGATGGCTAATGATCTTGCTTTAAATAGAGAGCCCAAGTGGGCACGCTCATCTGCTGGAGAGTCAGAGAGAGGGAAGAGGCTTACAATAACTGAAAATTGTTATAATTATGACATAATTTGGACATCTGGAGAGTTTCAGTGTAAGCAGAATTTCAGCTTGTGGAAGCTCGTTACTGGAAAGTTGGGTAATGAATTATGGACCCATTTGTCACATAAAGCCAGTAACTGAATTCTATCTGCTGTTACACAATTAAACTTTTATAGTTGCTCGGCCTGCGATAGTGAACAGGCCCTCATGGCACCCAGTGCATAATTTTCCAGGGTTTACTTTTCAGTAACAGCGTAACCTGTTCAGATCATTCAAGCCTTAAACTGCTCAAAGGATTTTAGTATTTCTGGGCAAATACTGTGAAGTAAAAGGACTTTGTCCAGTTGTTTGGATCAAGCCAAAGACAGAGGAGGGCTTATCCAGCCAAAGAAATTGGCTGGTGTTACTCATAATGCACTGGGTAAGAGCAAGAGCCTGTTGTCYTTGTAAGTGAGCTTCTATAGCCTGGGAAGCGGAGGCCACAGGACGGGAGCGCTGGCACCAGCAGGAGGGTCCAAGGACTGGCAGCCTTGGGTCTCTTTAGCTGTTCCCTCATTTTAAAGCCGCCTGTTCTGTTCCTGCTGCTGCTTGACAGCGTGTTGGCAGCGGGTTGTTTAGTGTGGGGCCAGGACAGCATTGCTGGCAGCGCGACTCGCACGCTCTTCTCTTTCGGCCTTGCGTGAAATTCAGCCCCAGGACAGTCAGGCCCAGAGAAGGGGTCAGGCTTGTTACAATCCTGTTCACACTGTTTTGCTTATCCCAGCTCTTCCCTGCAGCAAAACTGAGAAACTCTTCTCTGAAATGGCCCTTTGCTAATGTGTAATTTATGGACAAAATGGAGCCAGCCCCCCCCCCAAACTGCTTCCCTGCTTCCAGCTCGTGGGTAAACAGGAGGCTGCRGGACTGCCCAGGCAGCCCCTGCCCTAACGACCTGCCGAGCAGTGGCCCAGCGCGGCGGGGAGCCGCTGTCAGCCTGGCTGCGGGTGGGTACACCCAGCGGAATAATAATGGGAACAGGATAAGGTGGGAGCGGGGAGCTGGGAAGGGCCCGAGGAGAAACAGGCAGCAAGTTTTCTGGTGATAAGGGCTGCTGTAGCTGGAGTTGTTTGCCCCGTGGGAATTCTGGAATCCAGGAAAGCCAGGCTGAATTCTGTGCAGTGTTTCCAGTTGGGAACAGCCCTGTGAGGTTCTGCGGTTAGACCCGTCACGGTGGCATTTGACCCAAATGCCTGAACAAGAGTAGTACAATTTGCACTGCCCTCCCTCCAAACACCAGCTGTGCCAGTGACCCCAGGCCTGATCCGAGTCCCTCAGATCCTGTACCCATGGAGTCTGAGTCCCCTTCTAATGGGAGCTCTGCAGAGTAAGGGCAAGAACCTGTGACTGGTAAGGCAGTAGGGCTGCAGTGGCTCAACGRGGCGAGAGGGCTCTACTCGGTACTGAGTGTGCGTTGAGCTCTGTGGCTGATTCGTGCCATGCTGAGCTACTACTGTGTGACAGCTTGAACCCCCTGGCATTAAATTTACTGTCTCTGAACCTTCTGTCATTTCAGTGTCTTCCCAAGGGAGCTCAAAGAAGTTTTTGCCTCATGGAGACAAGAATGCAGTAATCGTGGCCGCCCTGACATCAGTGAGCGTCTGATCAGTGCCTCCTTATTCCTCCGATTCCTCTGTCCAGCCATCATGTCCCCTTCTCTGTTCAGTCTCCTCCAGGAGTACCCGGATGACCGCACTGCACGCACTTTGACCCTTATTGCCAAGGTCACCCAGAACCTCGCCAACTTTGCCAAGTGAGTCGGGCTACAGGAGGGGCAGGTCCAAAGCGGAGGATGGAAACTCCGGGTGTGGGGCTTGGCTGGCTGGGAGGCGGAGGGGCAGGCACTGGCTGCAGCTCCAGAGCAGCAGTCGTGCGAAGCCCCATGGTSTGCAGCCAGCGTGCTGCAAGCCCAGCCCGCGAGGCTGCTGCAGGAGGACTCAGAAGGGGCCTCAGCAGGGCCTGAGAGAAGCGTGAATTTGGGAATGCCCTGACACTGTCAGCACGAAGGCCAAGCTGTACTGTGGTGCTTCCTTGCACTAGGGGCTGGGTCCCATGCTGGCCACATGGTAGAGCCACGGATGAAGAATCCTGCCCTGGCTTCATCTATCCAATATGGAAAAGGCCTGTTATTCTTTTTCCCCGACATCTCTCTGGGAGCTGTTCTCTCACTGCTAGGTCAGAAAAATCATTTAAGTTTCCAAAACAACACATGTTTTATGAACAGGAAAACAAACTATTCTTACCATACAGAAAAGCAGGCTGGGCTGCAGCAGAAACACCCAGGCAGAGTCAGGAAGTTTGTCCCATAATTGCAGCATTGGGCAGGGCTGGGGCATATGTGCTGCTGACCTCCCCCAGAGGCACCAGCAGGGCCAGGAAGGCACTGGGATGTGGAGCTCAGGATCATTATTTCTTTCCAGTGCGCCCTGAAACCCTTCCTGTTGCTCCCATGGAATTGTCTGAGCTTGGAGCACATGAAAAGAGAATGGGAACATTATCCATTTCTACCTAAGCCCATAGGCTCGATGGAAACAAAGAAAGAGATTTCTGAAAATCTTTTCACCGGCGGCAGCTCTGAGCTACTTATCCTGAGCTGTGATAACAGTGATGAGCTTTTGGAAATATGAATGGACAGTTTCCATCTAAAGCTTCTTAGATCTAAAAACTAGCTTAGCACACACGCTCACAGGAATGCACGCACAGACACAGGCAGAAGACATACAAGTGTGTTACACCAGATGACAGAAGTTCTCCATATTCCTGATCAGTCCCTAACCAAAAGGTTTTCAGATTTTCAGCACTTTGCAAGAAAGCCCTGATAACTAGGCTGACATTAGTGAGGCCAAAGTSATAAAGCTGAGCTGTCCTGCAGCCTGCACCCAGACATCCTCTCCCCACCAACCGCTGTACCCTGCTGGTACAACTGAACTGTGCGGCTTTCCTGTGCGCTAAGACACTGGAGAACAGAAATCCAGTGGAATGGTAGCATGGGAAAAGAGGGTGCAGAGAATCTGAAGGGACTAGCAGGTGAAGTCAGCTGCAGGTGTGATTCCCCAAGGCATCCCCAGGGAGGTCATGCCAGAGGCAGCCACGATGTCCAGGGCTAGGATTAGCTTCTGTGCCTGTGGAAGGGAGGGAGGCCGTCGGGAGCCTCCCTCCTGGCGCCAGGCTCGTCACAGGCTTCTCCTGAAGGACTGAAAGGCGCAGCAGACATGAAAGTCTGGATGAAGATTCAGATCTCTGCACCCTTCTAGTTTCTATCTCCAGGCTAGGTTGGGCTGGGTCTTACAAACTCTCTATTTCCAGCAACATGTTTTACATCTGCAGGCCATATCTTGTTTCTGGCCTTCACAGTTATTTCTACTGCTGATAAGCACCTAGCTGGGCTAGATGACTTAAGTTTTATTTTTAGTGAGGTACCACTTAAGTGAGGAAGCTAAGTGCTAGCAAGCAAACTAGTGATCCTAAAGGCTTTGAAAGAGCTTAGTTGCTGGAGGAAAGGCTCTAGCATTCTCTGCATATGTACTTGACCTGTCGACTGTACCTCTCTTCACAGGATTTAGCTGAGATTCATATTCCTGTTTTGACAGGTTTGGTAGCAAAGAGGAATATATGTCCTTCATGAATCAGTTTCTGGAACATGAATGGACCAACATGCAGAGATTCCTGCTGGAGATTTCCAATCCAGAAACCATCTCAAACACAGCTGGCTTTGAAGGCTACATTGACCTGGGCCGAGAACTCTCCACTTTGCACTCGCTGCTCTGGGAAGTCATTTCTCAGCTGGAGCAGGTATGTGGAGGGAATGGCAGGGGCAGGCTTGGAGGGATGCGCGGTTGGGCCACCACCATGTCATGCCCAGCAGACATTGCCCTGTGTCTGTCGCTGGTATTAATGTTACTAGCACTTCCACGCCTGTTGCATATGCTGCACGAATAGCTTTTTCTTTGCATCCCTTTCTGGGGCATGTGAGTATAGTTTGTTTCGCTCTTTATCACAGTGTAGAGGAGTGGGGTTAGAATGAAGACACAAATGGGATGAGAAGGCAGAGCTGCTCAACATCAAGCCCTTGGTCAATCCMAGCAGATTCAGAAGATTTATTTTTAATTAAAAAGATTTCTGTCTAGAAACCTGGACCAGACCTGGCCGTAGCTGTCTTTTTTTTTTTTTTTCCCCCCCTGAAATACGCTTTCTGCTAAGAATGCTTGTTTCTTTCCACCCCAGAAGCAAATGGCTTCTGGAACCACATGCCTGGGGCAATCCATAGCCTCAACAGTGGGGGTAAATGATGGAGAAAATTAATGCTGCTAACAAATAATTCACTGAAGATTCTACTAAAAACCTGACAGATCTGACAGTTCTCTAACAGGAAAGCAAGATGTTTGTAATAATTCTGCCCTCCTTTCTCTCCAGGGCATTGCAACAAAACTTGGGCCTCTGCCTCGGATTCTGAGGGATGTGAACTCCGCGCTCAGCAACCCGGCCTGCGTGCAGGTCTCGGTCACAGCTGATCACACTGCATCCACTCCTAATGCCAGCAACAGCATCTCTGCTGGGCTGCAGAAAATGGTGATAGAGAATGACTTATCTGGGTAAGAACATGAGACACCAGGGAAATACCAAATACTCAGCTACTACCAAARCCCAAGCACCTGCAGGGGCAGGCAGAACAAGGTGGAGTGTGGGGTCACCTGATCTAGGCTTTGTGCCTGCAGAACAGGCACTGCCTGCACTTAGTCTTTGTGCCAGAAAGTGGACATTAAGTGCAGCTTCTCCATCACGGCTCCACTATGAGGCCTGGTGCTGTTCTCAGCTCTTGGCAGGTCCCTGTGTGAGTAATTTAGGGAGATGAAAGTCTGGACACTTCTCTAACCATTCTCAAGTTAAAGAGGCATAATAATCAATTCCATTCTCTTCTGTCCATTTTTTTCTAATGAGCTGTGATTCACAGTCACCCAACACACTTTTTGGCCTGGTTATGTAAGTGTGTTCATTCACAGGGAAGCTTAGCCTGTTGCAGGCCTACAATATTCTGTTCATGAAAAATGCWGCAGAGCACAATTAGAAAGACCGCTAATAACTTAGTTTGTAAGTGGAAACTACATGTTATTTAACAGTTTAATGAAGAATGAAAGACAGCAATAGAACTGGACTTGTTGTAATCAAATTTCATCTCTAATGCTTCCCAGCATGAGATATAGTTATTTAAATTTGAAGCTGTGGAGAATCTCTGACAATATGCTCTCTCCCCAAAACCTGCTCATACTGCATCATTTTTGATCACAGGCTATTCATATTTTGTTACTGCAAAGCTCTTTCTTCTTACCCTCTTGAAATCAATACTGCATGAATGAATCTGTTAGAGCAGGAGGAATGGCCAGATAACCTTCAGCTGCCAGGATTTAGCTATGCTGCTGCTTACAAAGCAACAGCCAGAGTTATTATCAATAATAACTGTTAATTATTTGCATTGCATAGATCCTTGGAGGCCTAGTCATGGATCAAGACCCCACGGTAGTGTGCAAATACTGGATAGTATGTCCCCCAAGCTTCCTGCTTAGGTATAAAACAGGGAACAGGAATACAGCAGTAGAAGCAGGGATCACAGCAGTGAGGCGCAGCCCCTGGAGTGCGTCCCTGAGTGGCCCCTGTGCACAGGGACCCCCATCTCACACACTCACGTGTCCTTGCTCACCTCTCTACGCCTGCTCGGTCCCCCAGGGTTGGCCCGAGGCTCCTCCGCACTCTTCTTCCTCCCCACACTCCTGCTGCGCTGGCCCTCTGCTTGCCCAGCTGGACAAGCCCTGGCTCTGTGCCCTGCAGGGCACTTGGTCACGTCCCTGCCCCACAAAGCTGCGCCATGCTGATTTCTGCGTGATAATGTTTTCCTGCTCCAGTGCAGCATTCACAATTCTTCTTTTTTTTTCTTTTTTGTTTTCCTCTCCTCTTCCTCATGCACTGACTTCCCCGCAGTCTGATAGATTTCACACGGTTACCATCTCCAACCCCTGAAAACAAGGACTTGTTTTTTGTCACAAGGTCTGCTGGGGCTCAACCCTCACCTGCCCGAAGCTCCAGTTACTCAGAGGCCAATGAGCCCGACGTGCAGATGTCTAATGGCAGCAAGAGCTTGTCCATGGTGGACTTGCAGGACAATCGCCTCTTGGACAGTGGAGCAAGCGCGCCTGGCACTGCTGACTCCCTCAATGACAGTCAGTCATCCCTGGGGCAGCTGCAGGGCGTGTGGAGCACGCGGACTCAGCAGAACAGYGTGACGGGCATGGCCACCGTGCGGCGTGTGGGCCAGACGCCCACCACGCCAAGCGGCGAGAGTGCTCCGGGCCGGCCCCAGCTCCTGGCGCCCCTCTCCTTCCAGAACCCCGTGTACCAGATGGCAGCCGGGCTGCCGCTCTCGCCGCGTGGTCTGGGCGACTCTGGCTCYGAGTGCCACAGCTCGCTGAGCTCCCACAGCAACAGTGAGGAGCTACCCACCAACAAGCACGGCTTCGCAGCACCCACCGGCAGCGAGGAGTTCGCCCGGCGCACAGGGGAGCTGGCCCGGCGGCAGCTCTCGCTCTCCGAGAAGGGCGGCCAGCCCACCATGCCACGGCAGAACAGTGCCGGGCCGCAGAGGCGGATAGACCAGCCGCCCCCRCCGCCCCCGCCCGCCACCCGGGGCAGGACGCCCCCCTCGCTGCTCAACACCATGCAGTACCAGAGACCCTCCAGCGGCAGCATGATGTCCTCGTCGCCGGACTGGCCAGGCAGCGGGGCCCGCCTCCGGCAACAGTCTTCCTCCTCCAARGGTGACAGTCCCGAGATGAAGCAGCGTACGATGCACAAGCAGGTTAGTTGTGAGGCTGTACACAGGAAAGACAGGCTCGGGGGTGGCAGGGACTGCACTAGGGTCCTGGATGTGGGGGAAATAGTGGCCATGTGGGGACTGCTGAATGGGAGGGGAGGTCACCCTGGTTTCCAGTCACTCTGTGGGTGCGAGCAGTCTGGTGGCATGTGCATATGGGGCTGCACTTTGGCTCTTGCGCTCAGCTTGGTCTGAGACAAAGGCCCTCCACGGAAGGGGACACAGGGGTGGTTGTTCCCTGTGTTTTTCCATCCCATGGAGTGTTACAGTGTGACTGCTGCAAGGCAGGAGCTGGTGGAAATACAAGAGCGATGGCAGCCCTGCCTCCGTCCTGCCCTACCATCTCGTCACTGCTTTGCCTCTCCATGCGCAGGCTGTCATCCCATGCCATAGTCAATCCTGCACCATCTCACGGACTTGGACCAGGTCCTAATCTTCCACTGTAAATAAAGAGCCTCTGYACTGTTGCTGCTGTTCCACCGGAGCTGCAGTGCTCCCGGACACTTCTCTTGGCCATTACAGACCCTCCTGTAAGGGAAACTGGCAGGTGGGAGTGGTACAGAGCAAGTGCTTTGCCCAATGAGAATGAAGTTGCTGCTATGCAGAACTCTGCAGTGCTTCAGGTCTTACAGCAYGTGCTGGTCTGCAGAGAAATAAATTCTGCCACTCATGGTGCTAATGTCAAAGCAGTGGGTCACAGGCCCACTGATTTTCCCGGCATGGTTGAATTGTTTATTCCTTTTCTAGGGAACTAACCCTATAGAAAATCAACGCAGTAGGGACTCTCAGTGACTAGAGGAAGAGTTGAAAATGTTCTACAAACCCAAAGAATTTGGACAACAGACAGGAGCTCCCAGCATCTCACCTCGGACATGGTATTGAGGCACCTTCTAAGTTGAACAGTGCTGAAAGAGCAACAGAGAGCTAGACTACCCTGCCTTTTCAAGGCAGCTATGGAGGCCTTTATCAGTGCTGCCCATTAAAGGCTGTTTTATCAGCCTGATCTGGAGCTGTTCTGTGCTCAGGGTATTGATTCATAAGCGCTGACATTAGCAASCATGCCATGTAGCAGCATTTGTATAATGTGGATCAATACTCATTAGGTACAGAGGGTACAGACTCTGCAAAACAGCAGCCTGTTCGGTAGGAGTGTTTCTTCCAGAAAAAGAGAGCAGACAACTGCTTGTGACCTTTGGAAAGCTCTGGCAAATTTATGTTTGCAAATCTTTCATCCACCCTCTAAGGTTCCTCCAAGAGCTCAAATCTTGGAAATGCCTCTCCTGCCCTTAATCTGCACATTTTACCTTATGTTAGAAGCATCTGTAGACCTTAATGAAGTTGCTTGTTCACAGTTAGTAGTATTTAATGTGTTTTGAGAAGAAAGTAATCTCATGTGGTGGCCATTTCAGTAGAATTCAAAAAAACACTGCAGCCAGCCAGAAGCTCCTTCTGCCTCTGTGAGTTCATCTGTTGGACTGAGTTCAAACTGGGCCCGRCCACATCAAGCTCCTGTTCACTTCTTCAGCTAGGGCAGAAAGAGGCAGAATGACTCACGCACAGTGGTCTGAGCTCTGTTAGTTGGCAGTCTTGGACCAACGGTCCTTATGTTGCTGACGTGAACCATGATGGYAACTGCCAGTGTTCCTCATGAGCAGAAACCTGAGCAGTCATCACAGGTGCCTGAGCTGAAGATGCAAGAAAGAAGAGAAAGGCAGAAGTCAGGGGATGTGATGTTCCATGTGCCAAGGCTGAAACTTTATATTCAAAATTCTGGAAATAGAAGCCCAGAGTGGAAGATGGCGTGGGAAATCTCCCAACCCCAGCAAGGTGCTAAAACCAGTCCCTACTCTTTCACGATGGTGCAAGATCTCCTGTTCTCCTACTGCCAGGTACTGGGTTTCCTTAATGTCCAAAAACAAGAGGAGGAGAATGGAGGAGACAGYCCCTTTTGTTTCTGACTTAACTGGGTTCCTATTGGACAGATCATCACGTCATGTTCAGCCTGAGAAACTATTTACCGCAGTTGACAGCCAGCCAGAATGGAGGAGAAGTAGCTGCAAGTTCGCTTCTTCAAGGTTTTAATGTGTGTGGAAAGCACTCAGGGGTGTTCAGTTTGAGTTTCCCAAGCCAGGGAGGCAAAGCAGCAGCTGCGGCTGTAGCTCAGTGACACGGCACGGCGCACCTGGCCCCTCTGCTCACCTAGCTGCACAAACCAACCCGCACATGAGCTACAGAGGTGCTGAGCACTCAGACCTCTCCTGCCTCATACCTGTGCAGTCCCGTCCAAAAAGAAACCTTTATTTTCAGAGAACGCGCCAGCATGACCAAAAATAGTATTTCAGTTTTCAGATCGGCTTTCGTGTACATGAACTCTCCATGGCAATCAAAAAGGCAGCTCAGTAAAGCAGTCTGGAGAGTTGAGTGATATCTCCGCTTGCCTACAGCTCTGCACTTCGGCAGGTCACGTCTTCCTGAGGTGACAGCAGGACCTGCTAAGAAACCAGGTGCTGTTGATTTCAACTGAATCTCACCRAGATGCAGCTTTGTAGCACTGTGCTGTGGGGATGGCAGGCAGAAAAACTGGGCCTACCAAGGGCTGCCTGACGTTACAGACCGAGGATAACAAGAGGTGCATTCACAAGGGTTGTTCCTGTTCCCTGCCTGTCCCTGTTCCCTGCCCCTCTGGTAGCTCAGACCTGTTCACTGCTCTTTGAGCAGCATGGGTGAGGGCTTGGATGGAAGCATATTCTCTCTCTTTCTAGCTTCACAACCTTTTCCATTACAGGTTTTTCTTTTGTTATGGTTGTATGTTTCATTGTAGGCCCCTTCTCCTGTGAACCCCAATGCCCTGGACCGCACTGCTGCTTGGCTTTTGAATATGAACATGCAGTTTTTAGAAGATGAAAGCATTGACCCAGATTCCAAGCACAGGGATAAGCTCAGGAATAAGGACGAGCTCAGCCAAGCAGAAAAGGTAAAACCTGATTGGATTTAAACAAGTTTCTAACTACAGAGAGGACTTCCTTAACTGTTGTCTGCCTGAGCACGCTGGGGCAAGGCGGGCTGTGTGGCACCTCACTAAATACTAAAATGTTGCAGTTGTTTGTGATAGTTCAACCCACTTTTTAATAGCTTTCTCCTCCTTAGATATTCTTGCAAAAACAGACATGAGCCAGAGACTGATCAGACAGCAGCTGACAGGAGAGAAAAAAAAAAAGCCCTGTAATTAGCAGACTCTATTTCCAGATGTATAAAAATCTTGAATAAGACTTAAGCACAGAAGGTAGAGCTCTTTTCCCTAGCAGACACGCCAGTAGACAGCAAATGAAAGAGAAGGTGCTGTCAGACTAGTTTGTCCAGCAGTGGGTTACTGCTGTGTTTGGTCACTGCAGCGCTTCAGGAAGGGCTCAGTGCTCCTTTGAATCCGGAGAGGAGAGCGAAAGGCTTCGCTCTTGCCCTGGAAGCGGGGCGGGAGCTGAGCTGAAACGGCACGGGCCCCGCGAGGACAGCGGGCACTGGCCGCCCCAGCTCGCAGCCACAGCAGGGAGGCTCCAAAGTGCACCCCATGCGTGCCAAGTGCTGTCACTAACTGCTTTTCCTGGTAACCTTTCCTGTGAAATGGGCTCAACTTTTACCAGGTGGGCACTAGCAGGGAGCACTCCGCTCCATGCAGCCCAAGAGGCCACTGCCCCGGGGAGCACTGGGCTCCCCCTGCCCTGCGCAGCAAGGGGTTTGCAGTGCGGGGCCCTGTTCAGGCAGGCTCAACCATGTCAGGATTATAAATTCTGACAGGATTGCAGCAAGTCCTCCCTGCCCAAAGTTCAGATGTAGCCCCYACAGGAGCCTGGTGTCTCATTCCCATGCAGCATCTTTTGTTATTTTGTTGTCATACCAGTCACTGGCATTAAAGATCGTCATTAGCATAATCTCTCTCCCCRTTACTGTAAGACTTGAATGGTAACCAAGAATGAGACAAGTGTTCTAGAGACAGGAACGACTCCTGCGGTCTCTGAGGTCTCTCCTGCTATCATTTGAGCTCACTTACTCTGCTCCTATTTTAAGGCTAGGGTAGGTATTCAGTCTTACCTGTTTGAGCAACTCCCTTGTGTCTGACTGCAATGCTTCTGTGCAACTGTATGGGAGTTTGTGTTCCCCAGCACTCCAGGTTGTGTGTGTGCAAACTGTGGCCTTTCAATGCTTTGCTGAAAGCTCTGCCTAAAGGAAAACTGTAGTGATCTGCTGGGACTGGCTCTGCCCGGGCAGGAGGAGCTCGTAGGTCATTCCCGCTCTGCCTGCCATGGTTTGAATATTTCAGCAATTCAGAAGACCATCAGCTCCTAAATTTTCAATCCAAGTGAGTCATTGTTCCTTTTGCTGTCAGCCAGTCAGTCAATTTGTGGAATGTTTTGATATTAAGCTGACTGGGAGCTGGCTGACCGGGCCACGTGAAGCAGAGGGCTGCATTGCCCTCTCACAAAGAGCTGATCTTTTAGTAAAACTCCCCAGGAGGACTCTCAGAATTAGGACTCAACAAGCAGGTTTGCTGTTCGAATGCTTACACAGGTGGAGATGGCCAGCTCTATAAAGGCCATATTTCAGCTAATGAATACAAGATTGAGTACATCTTTGTTGGCTCATGAATAACAGTGTGGCCTTTTGTAACATGCTTTAAAGCATATTTGAAAAATCTTCCTGAATCTGATCCTTTCTTGTCTCGAGTGCTTTAAATGGCTTGTCAAAATATCAGTTCTATGTTAATTTTTCTAAGGGTTATGACAGTTGAGATTTTTTTWAAACAAATTTCAAATATAAGTTTTTGAAATTCAGTCTCTTTTCTCTTGTACAGATATGCACTGGAGTTTTCCTTTATCCAAGCAAGCTGTATGCTGTGCTTCTGCAATTGCTGAACCCGATTTACTGAGTTAGAAAGCTCTCTTTTTTTTTAATTGCTTTATGTGATTCTTTTGCCGCTACTGATTTGAGCTGCATGTGTACAGATAGTACAATCTGTGGGGTTTTGGCTTCATGCAGAAGCTCTTCTCCCACTGAACCTTGGTTTGATGTCTGCTGGCATTGTTTAAAATACTGGGCCACAGAAATGCAGTGCTGCTTGCTTGGGGTCTGATCAGTGCCCAGCTCCTGCTGTGCTGGGAGCCTATCGATATCTCTTCCCTTCCGTGAAAGCTAAAGCCCTGCCTTCGCTTCYGTGGGCTGCAGTCCACTGATGGCTGGCTATATATTAGCTCAAGTCCCCTACAGTCACTAGGTGGAATTAAAGCCACACAGGGGATAAGTGACCAAATGGGGAGCCATCTGGCAGCTGATGGATGGCCTGCAYGAGATTAGTTTGCCAGTCCCAGTGGAAAGGCTTTAAATGCACAAAACCAATGCACACACTGGCGAGCGGGGCAGTCTCAGCAGAGGGCTGTGCTGACAGTGGGCACCACCTTCCTGTACAGCTCGCGGGGCTGCTAGCACCCCAGGGCTCTGCCCTCCTTGCCTGGGCASCTGCCGGCACTCCCCAAGACCTGTGACCACTTTGCTGGAAGGCTACAGTGATCCACATGAGTTATTGTAGCAGGGTCCCCTGCCTGGCACAGAGGGAATCGGCATTAACAGCTCATGCTTGGCCTTCAGCAACTCTGAAGCCCCCTGTGTTTACTGCTGTAGATTGTGGAGCTCACGTGTAAACCCAAAACCCCATGAATGCAGCTTTTGTGTCTGTGTTTAGCCCTGTTAGTTTTGAGGAAGATCTCAGATGCATTTGCCATTGAGTCGCTCTAACCTGCATCCTCATGTGAAATGCCAAACTCTGCTAACAAGCCGTTCTCTGAACCTGCCAGTGACCTGCCAGCCCAGAGGAACGTGGTATCGCTCGTAATGCAGCGTGAAGACGACGGAAGAGGTGTCGCAGCAAGCAGGGTTTATCTGATGCAGTTTTGCAGATAGGCCAATGCAAGGAAAAGGGCAAGACTGGGTTGCGGGGAAATCCTGGCAAGAGCAGAGCTTTACTAGGTTACACGCCACATATGTTTTCTCCTCCTGTGTCTGTCCTTACGTACTGTAGTACCAGCAGGATCTAGTAGTGCTTCAGGATAAGCTTCGCATCTCCAACAAGAAGCTGGAAGAGTACGAGACACGGTTCAAATGCCAGGAGGAGACAACGCAGAAGCTGATGCTGGAGTACCAGGCCAGGCTTGAGGAAAGCGAGGAGAGGCTCCGGAGACAGCAGGAGGATAAGGAGATCCAGATGAAGGGCATCATCAGCAGGTACAGGGAAGATGGGGGCGGGAGTGCTGTGGGCCAGAGGAAGGCTGGCACAGAGCCTGTGTGATGTTAGAGCTGACCCCGGCTCAGGCTTCTTTGGGAGGGGCAGCTGGTTTCCTGTGTGGGTTTCCAGAGTTGGTTCTATTCCTGCCCTTCTGGGTTCTAGCCCCTGGGGGATTGCCAGCCTCAGTTCTGCAGACTCTGAACCTTCAGGTCTCACCCAATATTGTCAGTTGGGACCAGCAGATTTTCTTGTTTTCCTGACTCTCAGAGACAGAACTTTGGAAGGGAACTTGGGGCTGGCAACCAGCCCTAGCTCTCAGAGGCTCTGGCAGGCTGGCTATTCTCTTTTCTCAGAAGTAGATCTAATGATTGAAATGTTCTGATATTTAGGTGAAGATCTCATCACCACCCCATTACTCACAGCTGTGAATCCCTTCTCCCACCCAGCATAACGTGTTTATGGCCGTAGACCAAGTCTATGGCCTCTGGCTGTAGACTTTTCCAGTTCAGCGGCGTTCATGTTTACCTGAGCCGAGTGAACTTAGATGTTTTAATGGGCAGTCCGTTATAGAAGCATCTAGAGGATAAACACCCAGGGAAAAAGATTCTGAAATACTGGGGTGTGGGTGTGTGTGTGTGTGTGTGTGTGTGAGAGAGAGAGAGAGAGAGCAAGCAGTGGCAATGACTGCATGTCCCTTCATGCTTGAATGTGCAGCTGCAGGTACTGAGAGCCGCTCAGTGCATGCCTCAGAGTGCAGCTTCAAATGAGAGGGCTCAGCCTTTTACAGATGATGGAGGCTGCTATACAAGGGCTCTTCCAGCTGCAGACTCGTTTCTCTGCTATTTCACACCTCATGGTATAGTGCTTCAGAGATGTGCATCGCCCCTTTGCCTCCCTCACTCCTCAGGTGTCAAGAACTAAATGAGGGAGTGAGCTGAATCATTCATCAAGGGTGGCTGATATAGATAGATTTAAAACTAAGGCCTGGGCAGCTGGGTGTGACAGAGACCAGCAAATGTAATTAATGTATTCTTGACACTGCATGCTTGCTACAAAAGGCCATTACCTTTCAGAGTGTTTGATCCTGCTAAGAAGTGATCAAAGCAATCTTGCCTTAGTGGTAAAAACAGCCTCCTGGGTCCCTGTCAAGCTGCACGGGAGCCAGACGTATGCATGGCTTGGCAGAGCTGCAAGACAGTGGAATTTTCTGAATGCAGCAGATAAAGAAATACTCTGGAGTGCATACAAAGCACTTGGACAACCCCATAAGCTGCCTTTGTTTGGGGGTGCTTTGGATTTTAGGGGTGGTTTGTTTTTTGTTCTGCTTTTCTTCTGGTAAAGAAACCATCAGTTTTGGAGCCACCAACTCCAAACCAACCTGTACAATAATCAGGACCACCAGGAGTCTGGGGAGGTGAGAAGTTAGAGGGCTGCAGGATCCTTCCCCTTGCCTCTCCTCCTCCTAGCACTCCTCCTCTTTAAGCAGTACAAACCACTTTTCAAAGAAGGCCTATGTGCTCAGCATCCTAAAAGCATGTTTTTCTTGCCTGTTCTGCTGCCAGACTGATGTCAGTTGAGGAGGAGTTAAAGAAAGACCATGCAGAAATGCAGGCTGCTGTGGATTCCAAACAGAAGATTATTGATGCACAGGTGAGTGCCCAATGCCAACAACTCCAGCAGCTTTCAGTGTACGTCTGCCACTGTGCAACCCCTTGCCACTCAGCAGTGCCAGGTCAAGCATGACAAGACTGCCCAGCATGCAGAGTAAAGGCATCAGCACAACCTTGGGTTGTGGCTGCAGAACTAGGATTAGCCCTATAGATTCCAACAATAGATGGGCGGTGGATTATGGAAAATCTAAAAATATAGTCCATAATYTCTTAATTTGTCTAGGTAGAGATCAGTATATTCTCAGCAGCTAGACCTTCCTGAGATTTGCAGTGCTACTGTATTATAGGATTAGTTTTATAGACSGTATTAATCACTTGTAAGTCATGAGTCAAGCTAATTTACTCTATAGCTAATTCAGAAGTATATCAAACAGTAGCAGCCTTCTTGAAAAAGAATCGCTCTTTTTTCTGCAATTTGTTCAATGCTTGTAAATCAACATGTTCACTTCTGCACTCGGGGAGAGCTCAGTGGATCAGGGGAGCCTCTTACTGGGATCTGTGCAGATTGAGGACTGCCACAAGCTCTCACCAGTCACCCTGTCCCAGGCCGGTGCCACCCTGTGTGTTACATACGAGGCTGTTCCATGAGCCCACTACAATCAGGAGTGTTTAGCTTTTAGTCAACTGAATTTGTACAATGTCAGGCATGGTCACATGAAGTTACCACAAACTGCTTTCACTCCCTCTTGCTGACAGGCAGACCAAAGAAGGAAGGTGACTTGTTCAATGTCACAAAGAAGAGTAGTGGGAGAATCAAATTGCAACACAGAAGCATTTTCTCCCAGCCTTATAATATTGCAGAGTACCTGTAACAGTAGTCACTGAGAGCAAGGAACTTGCCATTATGGATGTCCTGGGAGGCCACAAGTCATTTAAACTATTAATTTACACTAACAAAATCAATTAAATGCTGACACAAATAACGATCTTGAGAGAGAATGAGAGCAAGGTTTCTCTTCTAAAATCTAGCTAACAGCTATGGATAGACTAGAAACGGTACAATGAATTTCATAGCTGAGAATTAGAGAAACTGCTTTATCTCTATTTTGTTCAGGATTGATTAGACCATGATGAATTTAAAATGAATTTAGTTCTAATTCCACTTATTTAAAAGCCTAATGCATTAAAAACCTCTGTGGGACAAGCAGCTAATCACAGAGAACTAGAAAGAGGCTCTGTTAAGCAGCATCACTTGGGACAAGAGCTGGTTTGATAGGGATTTGCTGTTGCCAGTGCAGCTGAGAATGGGATGGAGGCCAGAGAACCTTCTACCTGACATCGTGCGACAGGAGCTGCACATGACCTGGAATATTAACCCCTAGGAACTGTTGCTGTTCTGCAGTGGCCCAGATATGGGTGCTGTGTAGTTAGCTGAGGATGGTGTTAAAGTCACCCCTCCCGAATCAGAATTTTAGAGGCTTTCAGTGTAGTGTTACGGAAGCGAATGCAGACCTTGCTAGAGCTCAGACAGGGAGCAACCACAGCTGTGAAGTCTTATTGAGGCTTCTGTGTGTTGCTAGCTTGGAGCAGGGAGAGCTCACTTGCCTCTGCTTACAAGACGACTGCTTGCTTGGCAAGCAACAGGTTAAAACATGGGCTATACACATTTGCAGACCTCTTAACAGCAGTGGGCTTCAGGAAATCATGTCCTTAAAAAAAGRCAACCAAAACACCAAAGAATGTCAAGAATGTCCTGCTGCAAGAGAGCCTAGGTTGCCCTTTTGGAACTAGCTCTAGCATCACAGACAGGTCTCATGTTCTTCCATTTACTTGCCCTTCTGCCTGTTTGTTTGCAGGAGAAACGCATTGCTTCCCTGGATGCTGCCAACGCACGGTTAATGAGCGCCCTTACTCAGCTGAAAGAGAGGTACAGCATGCAGACACGTAATGGGATCTCCCCCACAAACCCAACTAAATTGCAGATTACAGAGAATGGCGAATTCAGAAACAGCAGTAATTGTTAACACGTGGAGGGCGCTGCCGCAGGAGGAGGCCTGGCCAGACAGACCGTGCAGCAGCAGGTGTGAGCCCCAGCTTCAGAGAACGGCTGCTCTCCCCCCCCCCCAGAGAATCCAGCTCCTCACTGCGGACCGCRCACTTGACTGAGCCTTTGTGGGAGATGCTAATGCCAGCACACTGAGGGGACGAAAAGACCGAGTGTGAGATGAGTGGCATAAGGAAATACCATATATTTGAGAATTGCTGTCACTGTTGGATTTAAATCAGTGTTTAATGTTTGAACAAAGTAACCTTTTCCTTCCAAACTGCCCAAAGGACATGCCTCAACCCTCCCAACAAGGACTAGCGCCCTTGTCACTGCAGTAAGCAAAGGAAAGGGAGCTGGCAACAGGCAAAGCCCAGTCAGTGTAACGAGGGTGTGTTCACTGGGCAGGCTGCTGGCAGGAGGGGCTCACAGAGGGTGGGAAGGTGCTGCTGGGACAGCAGAGCCCAGAGGTACTTGAGTCATCCCCTGTGACTCCCCTGGAATACAGCCCTTGCTCCTCAAAGTAAAGCCAGTGCTCAGGAATCTTTTCCTACCTGGCTTTCCTGAGGTCACTCTGACATTAACAGTGTGTGTGACTATCAGTAGGGCATTTACACAGCTAATTAGTGTTTAATTCACAGGGAGCACAGTTTTCATGAGTCAGGGCTCATCGTGCAGTCTGGTGTCCGAAAGGGGAGGTGCAGGGGGCTACGGTGTCAGGGCACAGCAGAAGGTTCTGACTGGTATTGCTGGGGCTGCTCTTGTGGTCCCTGGGTGGCCACGGGGAGCAGAGCCACTCAAGGCCACTGTGTGCAAGTGGAGGGGGATGGGAGCTGGAACCTGGTGAGCAGCTTCTTGCGTCCTGTCCTCTTTCTTGCTTCTCTCACAGCTAACGGGGAAAAGGAAGGGCACTAATTACAACATATTGCGCCCCTACCTGTCTAGCTCTACAATAAAGTAAATATTGTTTGAGGTTGGCGCTTGAGCTGTGACTGAGGCACCTTGCCTGGATTTCATGGAGTTCACAGTGCCAGAAGGGGAGTGAAGGGCTATGTGAAAAGGCCAGGCCTTGCTTGACAAAGGGTTTGTTATGGGGAGGTAATGCTCTGTGTAGAGATTTTTTTTTAACTAATTGTGGGGAGAAAAGCAGGCAAACAAACAAGGAAAGCCCTGAAGAACCATGAAGATCGGTAATTGTATTTCTTTTCTTTCACAGTATGCATTAGAAAAAAAAACAGCCCATTTTCTGGAATACTGTCCTCTTTAAATTGGGAATGAGCACTGCATGGATATTAACCGGCTCGAAGAATGTAAAACTTGGTCATAAGGGAGTAACCAACAGGAACAGCAGCCACCACCGAAAGCCCCCTTGTCAGGAAGCACTGTGCAGGCATAAGCCAGGATTAGACTTTCCTAACTGCTGAAAGATGCACATCGGCACATTGAGACACGATGTGCTCAGCGGAGGGGTTGCCTCCTTAACGGGGCTTGTGCCGCTGACCTGCCGCCACGGTGTGTTTGTCCATTTGTGTTTTCTCAGTTAGTACTTTGTGCCTCCCAGGCTCAGAGCAGGCCACACATACCAASAGCCAGAGATTTCTCTGAGATACGGATACCAGTGTACAGGACCTCTGCCTGTTCCTCCCACTAAAGCTTAATACACTGCTGAATGCTTGCCCTAGCTCCTCCTGCCATGTGCCTATGCGCAGTCAAAGGACCTAGGATGTTCACTGAGCTCTGCACAGCCTAGGTACCATCTCCATCCGCACAGTACCTGGGTTGCCTGAGCAGGACACTGTTTGCCAGTGAGCGTTGCCACGCTGCCRCAAGGCTCAGTAACAGTGTTCTTCCACACGCAGTTGTTTTAGATGGTAAAGATGCTTTTCTTTTTTCCAAAAAGCTTTTCTGGTCCCTGGAAAGCCTGGGCCAAGTCCAGGGAGGCTGCACGTGCTGCAGATGTGGTGCTAGGAGGAGTGAGCGTGTCGCTGTGCTCTGAGCTCTCCACACAGCGCCAATGCCTGCAGCGCCGCAGTCTCACAGCACCCACCCCCCACCCCCCGCCAAGGAGCTCCTCAGAGAAAAGTAATGGCTAAGCATTTATGGCATTTCAGTCGCTACCACTTCTGGAGAGTTAGCACAGATGGCTTTGAAGAAGGTCACAAAACTGCAAAGGTTACATCTGGAGAAAGACCCAGACAGGTTAGGAGATGCACAGGGTACTGTGAACAGTTTGGTGCATATGCTTACCTCTGCCGTTGTCTCAGAGTCCAGTGCATTGTAAGAGCCTCAGAAAAAGACTATTTTAAACTGCTGTTACCCTGAGATGTGTTTTTGGAGCTGATGATTGTTTTTCAGTTCTGAAATATTTGTATTGCAAGAGACGGAAGTTTTCTCAAGAGAAAAAGAACATAAACAAATGGAAACACTAACAGGGTGTGGGGGCGGGTGCCCCACCAGGAACATGTTTCCATTCATACATGAAGTAATTTTGGGATGCAGAGTCAGTGCTCTCCACAAGAGCTGAAAAAAAAAACACACCCACAAAACAATTGTCCAGTGCTGAAGCTAACACAGTACATTTCATCATCTTTTCAACCACAAACAAGCCAAGAAGGCACCTCTCCCCCTGCCCACCCCCCCACCCCCCCCCTCTTTTTTTTTCCTCTCCCAGGATCTCCCAGAAACTTCAGGTCAACCTCTAACTTGCTAATTGTTGAACACACACTGTTCTACTGAAAGACCAGGAACACTTACGTCCTTGCATGGGGAGCTATTAAATGCTTAGAAATTCCAATGCCAACACTTTCTGGAGTTGTTGCTTAGCTTCCTGAGCTCATATGAAAAGAAACACAAATCAGGATGAAGTCGCTTTACAGTAGAGGCCCCCAAAGCCTCTTTTCCCCCATGATTGCTTCCCTTACAAGCTTCAACAACTGGAGCTAAATATGAACCTCCCCCCTTGCAGAAGTCCAGGGATAGGTTTTAAGATCTAGGCTCAGCTCTGTTATTTCAGTTTATGTTTCTATTATTTATAAATTGTAAATGTGTGCGTGTGTGTATGGGTGTGCGCGTGCCCTCGAATGTGACTGAGAGCTGCAGGTGTGAGTGCAGTGTGGCCAGGATCTGTGATTGTGGCCTCGAAGCTGGTATGTGGCACAGCAATACCAGAGTCACAGAGGTGCCTGCAGCACAGGAGTAAAGCAACCACTATACGTAATGTTTTGTGATCTGCTCCACTTTCTTTTTGTTCTTGCGCTTTCTACAGTAAGAGGCTGGTCTAGTGCAAACGCGTAAAAGTGTAAACAAAACAAAAACACTCAACTTTTTATCTTAATACAAGTTTTTTGGGGTTTTTTTTTTGTTTTTTTTGGTAAATGTTTTCAGTGTTTACTGTAACGTATCTATCTCACTAACAGTTGTATATAGTAATTTACTTCGGTGCTGCTTATTTGGTCAGGATTTGGCTCTATCTCACTGCTGTTCTGCAGAAGTGGACTTAACCTAGCAAAATTGGATTCAGTCCCATGTTATGATTTCTGTCTCCTCCCTTTTGTGATTGGAACGAAGGGGAGAGAATGGCAGCCAGCTGAGATCCAGCTTTGGGGTTGGCCCACCTCATCTTAAAAGAGCTTTCATTAATTTTTATTTTGAAAACAAAACACTGTAGTGAACACTTCTGAATATGAGCAAAGTTTTACGAAAAGAGGATGAAGTGGACTGAACAGTTTCCCAAGGTCTACTGCAGACTGTAAGTCTCATCATTTTGGCCAAATGATTAAGGTTTAACTTTACTGCCARAAGATTGGTGGGACAGAAATCCTTTCCCATGCCAACTAATTACTGCAGTGTACTCACCAGCCCCTTTTGCATCGATTTAAGCAAATCCTGCCTCCATCCAAAGAGTCCTGTGCCACTCTGCATTGTCACTGGAGTCTGTTTGGTTCTGTTTTCCRGTTTTGGTCTTTTCTAGCACTGACTGCACCGTGTGGACACGCTCTCCGCTGTCCTGGCACAAAGCTGGGCAGGTTTCTGCGGGATACAGGACACAAGTTCTGCTACTATGAATGTTCTTTAAGGGAGAGGGGACTTGGTGGACCTGACCGAAGCAGTACAAGCTCTCTTAGGAAAGCAATCAGCAAGTCAGCACTTCCCAAGTTTAGAGGGCTCGGGGCTGGGGGGGGGGGGGGGGGGGGGGAAGGGAAGGGAGGAATCTGTTATTTGTGTCCATAATGAGAGGCGATAGAAAACCTACCAAAGCCTCCTCTGTGACAAACATGGAAAGGTTTTTTTTTTTTTAGTCACATCATAAAGGTGAATTAATTCAGTGATTCATTCTGCTAGGACAACCACAAGGACTGGCTCATGAATGAAGTGTGTAAGGGGCTCATTCCCACAGCAATCCCAGGGCAAAGGGAACAGTCCCAGGAGAACCATTATGAAGGCCGTTCCTACAGACAGCRGTGCTCCAGCAGCTCCACCAAGCTCACTGCCCTCTYAGTAAGATGTAGCTTTGCCTTGAATGTGTTAAGCAGAAAATGAAAAGGGAACAACTGTGACATTGTCCTTGGAGTAGCGTGGGGTTTCTTCTGCAGCACTATATCCTACTCACCTGAAACAACAGTTGTATTCAACTGTTTCCTTAAAGTTTTCTATTCAAAGCAACCTCTGACTTGACCACAGCCTATGCCAGTATGCGGATCTAACCTTCATCAGACTGCGTGGCCACCAAAAGGCTCCTTAACTGGACAAGGCACTGTCCAGCTCTAAACTAGTCTCTGCCTCTTCCAGGCAATTTCAGAGGTAATGGCTCTGCCACAAGGCTTGGATGGGTGATACTGGCCCTGCACAGAGACCTAGCCAAGCCCTGCCAGTCCGTACCAAGAGAACCTTTGCCTTTTTCTTTTCCTTGGGGTGAATTATAGTGGAGGCATCATAGGAGTCTGAAGAGAGGCTGACAKAAGGCTGCAAACACACCTCGGGCTCTCCAAACCAAATCCAATCCCAAGGATATTATCCACCACTCACAAACAGTCAAGCTTTGGCAAAAGGCTGCCACATTCAAGCATAAATATTCACAGGTTACGTGAGCTGTGACAATGCTGTAAATTCATGTGGTTCTGCATTCAACTACAAGTACCCCAAAAGTGCAGTCTCCATGTTCACATATTCCTTTATCATACATCACTGTGTCTTAAGATATACCTCTTTCTCTCTGTATATCTGCTTAGGCTGATACTTGTTCCTGATAAGCAGTTGCTATGTTTTATATCCTCTTATAAAGAAGAAAAAATTTTGTAAGTATGTTTAAAAACAACAAAAAAATGCAAAGTGGAAGTGTTTGCTGAATCTCCTTCAGCTCCTTTTAAACTATGTAATAATGTACAGAGAAAGTTGTTGGTGTTCGAAGAAATGATGTGGCCGTGCAATTTATGTACATTTGCAATTAGAAATATTAAAGATTTATTTAGATATTTTATATGTGTTCTACACCCCCCACCCCCCCYACCYTCCTCATTTCCAGCACATTCTGGCACACACACACAGAACTGCCAGTGCCACATGCCCCTCGTGCCAAGCAGGCTCTGTCTTCCCGGAGCAGCCGCACTTGCCCACCAAGCCGCGCTGCTGGGCCAGGGCTCTTGGTTTGCTCCTTCCACTTGCTGGCGCAAGACTTCTTAGTAAATTCCCAGCCATGTCCTTAGCACCACAGAGCTAGCAGGTCATCTGCTTCCTACCTGCAGTGGCTCTTATCCTTTTTCCTGTCTTATGCCACTGAGCAAAAGGCGTTGACAGCGATAAAAGAAAATGTGCAGTGAAACATTAATGTTCTTACCAAATGAGAACAGTTGCTACGTAAGTAACAGCTGAGCCCAAAGCAATTTGCACCCAAGACAGCAGGCTCAGTCACTCTTCAGTGCCAGCTCCTCTCCATGCTAATTGCTTCCCGGGTGGTTTGAGTGTTTTGCCCTTCTCCAGGCCTAAAGCCCCATACTTGGCCTTGGAGTTGTCATGCAACACGTGCCACCCCAAGAAGGTGTCTGCGCCAAAAAGCCATGGGGGACGAAGCAAAAGAGGCTTGGGCCACGAAGCTGAGACAGCTAAGAGCAGCAGTGACACCATGCCGGGAAGCAGTTCTAGGCCCCACTTGCCAGGACCTGTCCAGAGAACATGCTTTCCTGCGGGGCTTCACTGAGTGGGGCCAGCATAGCACGCTGCTCTGCAGAGGGACGCACACAGCCGCAACACCCAGGTTTCTGGCACCCGCTGCTGCACACCCAGCTCCTGCCACCCTGCACATGTGCCTTCCAAACATGTCACTTCTTTTGTCTTTCCAGGAAAAGTAGCAGAAACTTTGGAGAACAATCATTAATACCCAGGGTAGCCTGAGCACCTCTGCCTCATTAACATCACCATAATTAGCTCCTCTGAGAGAGCAGGGAGACAAACTGGCTGCCTCAAACAACTCAAGACGTGCAGGGCGCCTGTCGCTATTCCTGTGCTCTCAGACGATGTCTCAGCAGTAACGGAGGCTCTGGACCAACCCTGTCCCTGGGGCCTGCAGGTTCCCAGCAGTGCAAGCACGCCAGGCCTTGGAGTGTCCTGCTGCCCCTTCTGCCAGGGGCACAGAACTGTCTCCGTCTCCAAGCACGGAAGGCAAAACCCTTTCAGGCTGAAGCTCTTGCCTTCCCCCTCCGACTGGGCCTTACGGGTAAGGTCCCCGCAGTCTATCGTGCTGCACCTAGCACAGGGCCTGCAGCACCTGCCCTACCCCAGCACTGGGAAGGTGCATCAGCTCCACACACAATCACATAGTGAAAGGCAGCATTTCCGTTACAAGGGTTTAATAAGCAAACACTCCTGATTCTCATTCCAGATCAAGGTGGAAGTTCTGAAACAGCAGCATCTGTTCCAGCAACTTGTCAAAGCCCACACAGCAGCAATTGCTCCCACCAGCATTCCCTGCACAGTCCACTAGAGCCTTTGAGATCCCCCTGGCATGACGTGCATTCAAAGTTAACTCCCAACCCCAACTCATGATACATCTAAGCAGTGAAACTGTGGCTCTAGGAGTAGTTTTTGAACAATTTGTCCCAGCTACAGAACAGTACTGCAGATCCACAGAGCCTCTGCCACCTGCCTGGTGCCAGGCACTGCAGTGACACAGTGAGAGAATCCAACAAACCCTCAGCGCCAGCGGCCCAGGCCCTGCCGCACAGTGGGCTTGGGAAGGTCTGTGTGCCGCTCCTTTGCTCCAAGGYCTCAAACTGGGCTATGCAGCTCCTGCACCTCCGAATTTAACTTCACTGGTTTTGAAGGCTGAGAGAGAGGGGGGGTGGGAGGGGGGGAAG